CGAGAAGCTCCGTTTCCAGAAGTGAACGTAAGAGGAAGAGGATAGGTTTTTAATATGATCGAAGTCACATTTGTTTCTGTTATCACAATGTTCCATTTATCTCAAATTAAACCCCCTATTTAAATAAATTATAAAGCAAATTGTATACCAAAATTCTAGATTTACTTCAAGCTTTTTTTTTAATAATTGATTTGCATGATATTAATATCTTGTAACTTTTGATCTCATATTAAACAGGTCTGATCAGGATTCTAAAGACGACGTCGGTAGCTGGTAACGCATAATTTCTAGTTTAATTATTTATATTAGTTTTTAAATATCAATGTTAGAACACCAATTACAATATGTAATTTATCGCTACAATAATAATTCAATATAGTAAATATTTGCATGCATGTTAAAATTTAAAAGTTATATAAATTAAAATGTTCAAATATCTTTTAGAAAAGTTTCTATTTCAATTTTAAATATTTAATTTTATCTCATGGCCATGGCAAAATTGGAATTAACAAGCGTTTTATGTATGACCTTTCATTATAGTACCTAGTAGTCCCTTCATCATAGTATGCGTTTTATACCTATATGCGTTTTATGAGCCTTGTTATAAGCATATTATTTTTAATTATGCGTCTGCGTATTTATTAAGTTACTATATTCTTCTTAATCATTAAACGTTATTAGTCTTTCGTCAGTTTGTAATTGAATTGTGTCATTTCATGATATATCTAATATGACCCTAGATAACACCTAAATGTTAACAGTTTGTCGATTTGACTGGCCGTTGATGATGGAAATATCGTAGTCTGATAAACTTCACTAGGTATAATTGCCTCCTAGGTATAACTCACTCCGGTGTTTAATAAAGACTCGATATCAGCCACCAGTTTATTCCGCTTGCGGCACTCGACAACGTGTTCTCGAGAAATATTGGTTATTGGCAGGACCGATATAAAAAGCATCACCACATCACCAGTGCTGTCATATGCATATCAATGAATTTAATTGGCTTGCAACATATATTTATTTACCATAGCTGTTATTAGTTGTTATTAAAAAGACGTTGCTACCCATCTCATGGTTTAATTAACTTTATCGCCTCTTACAACACCAACGGGACGATATGGGGTAGTGAATATTCATTCGTAGTTGGAGGTTTTAATTAATGAAGCTTATTATATTAATGAAGCTATTTGAAACTGCTGCATTTTGTAACAATGACTGGGCGAAGTTACTGTTTAACTATAAAAGTACGTTATAAACATCTCTAGAGGACAATTTCATTAGTATATTTTATATTTAAATTATATATATATAGCTTTCAGCTTTTGTTTTGAAGTATCTATCGATAATTTGACCTCGTCCATCTCTATTCTCTACGTAAACAATGCGGAAAGAAAAACATTTTCTCAATGTTTGAATGACGGCAACTCTCAATACATTTTCATGTACTTATTTGTCCTTGTCTTACATCGCTTATTGCCCGCGTGGAAGTGAGATACTGCTATCGTATGATTCTGACATGATTAAACTATTGACGAAACAAACGTCAGTCAGTCGTGGTCAGTGTATGAAAACAAAACTTTAGGCCGAGTGATGTTAGATATTAGTTATATTTACAAAAAAAATAATCATATTCCGGCCTCATTATTTGTGAAACATTAATTTTTACAATACTCTTGTGTAGAATGTATTCTACGATGAATGGATTGTATTCTGAAGGCCCTTACAGGTTAGACTTTTCGATCGTATTTTTTTGCAATATTTTCTTTCTTTTTACGTTTCATTTGTACGAAACAGCAACCGAGAAATATTTTCTTAATATGTTACTTATGGCATAGTTTCCATGTAAATTTGATTACCCCACTGTATTACGTTTAATTTTTAGAAGTATGCGGTTGAAGTGATTTCACTTCGATTTCACTAACGGTATTCGATTTCGGTTGTAAGTTTGATATCAATTATTATTATTCAAATTTTGCAATGCTTATAGTAAAATTTTAAATCCGAAATGTGTTTTTAGAATTATTTTTAACTTTTTATGTTAAAGATAATATCATGGATAGTGTTTTTGTAAAAGTAAAAATAAACGATGTATAATCGTCTTCCATTCATATAAAACATGTTTTACATGCCTAAAATTTATTATAATGTGCTCTAAAAATATTTTTTTACAGTTAGTTTTACTCATAAAAGTTATAAAACATTAAATAGCAATTATAAGTAATGTGGCTAACTACACCAGACTCTGGTTGGGTAAAATTTCCTAAACCTGGCCTCTGCCTAAAGCCGGCAGTCTTTTAATTTCCTATAATTATTTTACATTCTATTTTTTACTATAGCTTATGCCCAAAATTATTCTTTTATGCACTTCCTGCTGCAAATAACTTAACTGATAATGATGAGTCAATGCTTTAAATACATTAGCAACCAAAAGATAATAGGGTCCAGAAATATTGAGTCTGAGAGACGAGACGAGATATGGTCCTGTGTCGTTAGCAAAATCAGAACAACCAAATTTCGGAGAAATAATTTTATGCGATTTAGCATATTCTCTGGGTTTTTAATATTTACTGCGGTTGGCTTATAATTAAAAGAGTTAATGCACATTTTGTGTTTTACACAAATTAATTTATATATAAAGGCAAGCCAGAGTTTGACTATAAAATTACTTAACTTAGTAAAATCATAAATAGGCATAGGGGATCGGCTTTTAGGAGATTATCTAATTAGAGTATCATCTGTGTGACAAAATATGTAAAATTATGCAAATACTTAAACTATGACTTTCTACTTTTGTTAAGTACTTTTCTAGGGTTGCATACTCCACAGGGTAAATCGAGTCCTATTAATGTCACTGAGGTATGTCTGTTTGTCGTCCATATGTTTGTCGGTGTGTCCTCAGATCTCTAGCTGTATATGGTACGAGTTAGCCATAAACCAAATATTAAATTTACAATTCAATGAAATTATTTTTCAGGATTGTCTCCAAACATGAAAAACAAGTGAAAAGTTATTTTTTTTCATACCCTAGCTCGTGGGGTGTCACCTCAGTTTCATGACCTTATAGCTGTGAAACGCCTTTAATGTCCGGTGATGTCGCCGCTCACGTAGGTATTAACGCGACAGGGTGTATGTTAGGGGTTTTCACAAAAATGAATATATATTGATTTTGGACATTATAACTCATTATCATTTATTAACATTATGGTATACTTACTTATAAGTTAAAAACATTTATTAAACTAGATCATTTTTTTATTACTACACTTAATACACATTTACAAGTGTTGCACTTCCAAATATTATTATGACACTTTCTTTTTATGGATGTTTTCAGTTTTCGATTTTTAAAATTAATTATGTAATGTATTCGCATTCACATAAACAATTTTATCAACAAAAAATGAGTTAAACATAACATGCTTATGCCATAATTTTAATTCAATTTAACTTAGTAACTCATATAAGTATAACAGTAAGTTTACATTCTAGATGTTATATTTTTCAAAAACGATACTTAAAATTAATTAAATAAGTACTATAAAACATGCCTGAGCTAACTGCATATATTGTCTATCAGATTCAGTGAAGTGCGATAGCACAAGGCCAGCCCGCCCCCTGTCCTGTAATGCCACCACCGTTGCTCTGCACAAGTACAATCATTTCCCAACTGTAAGATCTTTAAACTGTGGTGTCACCCAGTGCTAGTTGTTAAGATTAAAAATTTTGGAATAATGGTAAAATCAAAAATGCTTAAGGTGTGTCAACCTTAGAGCATACTACTTTATTGTCCTACAAAGGAGATTGTATTCTAGCAGTGCAATAATGAATAAAAGAGCATTCTGAACTAAAATTATGAATTAATAACAAGCTTTTGGGAGTTTTATTAATAACACCGATTAGAATTTTAAAGTTCTTTAGATTCCTATTTTCCGCGTATTCCTTTTAGCCATTGTAAAACAGTGTTCATGTATCCTCTTTTGGACTGGGTGGACTGAAGTAATTTGAATGTTACTTTTCTTCCGATTTTCTCCCTCAACTATGTATAGACACAACTTGTCTAAATCCAAACATACAATCTGTTTTAAATGATGATAATATTATAGGGGTTATTTGAAAACACTATATTGACTTTAGGACTAAGATTTTGTGGCTATTTGGAATTCTTGTGCAGTATGTCACAGGACTACAACTTTTTTGGGATTTTGTCATAAAACAATTGTTAATGAAATTAAAGTCAGACATCCATTCTTAGTAAAGTTGAAAAACGCTCTCAGTTTTTCGCTAACACAACTGTATGTAAAAAAGAAATTTAACAAAGGGTTAGAAATATACATTTGTGAAGACGAATTTATCCTTGAAACCCAAATATAATTTACAAAATATTTAACAATCCAGGATGACCTTATATTAGTAAATTTTATGACAAAGAAGAGGAGATTACTTCTGATATGGATGCATTTCTCGTTATTGTGTTTATAATTAAAACTTTTTTTTGTTATGTGATGGTGTTGATGTGAAGCAAAAGAAAGATAAGTGTCAGAAACATTCCAAATGGAAGTTCTTAGTCTGTGCCCACCCCACTGGGCGACAGGCGTGAGAACTTATGTTATGGTCGTTTAACAATGGCAATATAAGTTATAACAATACAATTTATAAAATGTAAAGGTTTATAATTTCATTTCAATATATTGTTAAGGTTTTAGTTTAAGCGCGCCATTTATAAATGTGTAGCTTATGTCTAAATTAATAATAATGTATTACTTAATTAGTATTTAAATACCTTCTGTTTTATTGTACTTAAGGTAAAAAATCTGACAACAGTATTGTATTCCCTTCTGGGTTGGATACTGGACCATATAATTTGGAGAATCCATCTGAAGGTGGATGTTTTGGTTGGTTGAACGGAATAAAGAAATTTAAATTTGCCGACATTTAAATTTCTGCATCTATTGAATATAATCAACCCTCTTCATTAATGAAATGTTTTTGTCTTTTAGGCCATCTATGTCACAGGGTACAGTAGTCCACAGTCATCGTTTTCAAGAGAAGGATTTCACAGTTGCCACACCAGAAGAGTTTGTCAGGAGATTCCAGGGCACCAAACCCATTAATAAGGTGTGTATGTTTTGCAGTAAAAGTTTTAAAACTTAAATATTATAATTTATTTAATACATACATACATACAAGCACTCACGCCTGTCTTTATTCAAATTTAATATTATTTTTATCCAAAAGTGGCATGTAGTGGCGGTTTAAGTATTAACATTTATTTATTTATTTATACTTTCATGGACAAAAAAGTACATATGGCGGACTTAATGCCATAGGGCATTCTCTCCCAGTCAACCATTAGGCTAAACAGAGATTTTTTTTTATAGAAGAGGGGGCAAACGAGCATGTGGCTCACCTGATGGTAAGTGAGATAGACATTATGGAGGCGGTGCAGCAATAATCAAATAGAGAGGATAAAAGAAATAATAATATATATAATAAACAATACATACATATTATATACATACATATATAACATATAATACAATATATATACATACATACATACATACGCTATATGTACGTAAATACATAAATATATATCCATATATGTACATACACAATATGTTCGTATAAATATTATCTATGTCAGAACAAATATGAAATATATACGGAAAAGAGAGCTTAGTCAATTCAAACTTGCAACAATTTAATCATATACTTACGGACTTGATTTTTAAAGACGAATTTGTTGGGAGCTTTTTTTAACGTCAAGAGGGATGTCGTTCCAGAGTCTGATGGCCACGAGGGCGAAAGAGTGAGATAAATAACCAGTACGGTGTAAAGGAGTGAGCAACTTAAGATTGGCCGAGGAATGGAGAGAAAAATTATGAGAATCTCCCATGTATTGAAATTTAGATTTCAGATACTCGGGAGCACATGGATCGATCAAAATTGAGAAAAGGGTGCAGAGTATTCTAACATATCTGCGCTGACGGATAGGCAACCGGTTTAACTGTGTACGAAATTACCATATTGTACCACAGAACGGTGTGGGGTATTGGATATTCCCGAGCGCGTAAGAGGTGACAATGGGAAACAAACCAGGAGATGGGCAGTAGCATCTTTCTGATAAAATTTCAAAATTGTTAAAAATTGGGAGTGCCAACTCACTCGCCAAGCATGGCAACTATAGCAATATTTTGCCTTATGAGTCAATGTATGATTGAGTTCAACGGTGGACTTTTATATGCTGTAATGGAGTCCAAAGCTGAAGGTTACTTATGTTGATTATGACAATAGGATATTGGTGCTGTAGAAAACCTGAAACGAAAGAAAAAAAAGTTGATATTAAACACAATAAAATCTGGAAAATATTCTTTTTATTTAATGTATTATTGTCAATAATTTTCAGGTGCTGATTGCAAACAACGGTATTGGTGCAGTGAAATGTATGCGTTCAATCCGAAGATGGTCTTACGAGATGTTCAAGAACGAACGCGCTGTGCGTTTCGTTGTCATGGTAAGTCATTTTCTTCTAATATAACTTGTAAGCTTCATGAAATAAACTGTGTAGTTGCAGTGTAAGAAAATCTACTGCCACACATCCCAGGGTGTCGTAAGACGCGACTGAAGGATATGAAACATGAAATGGGGAGTAGTATCTTTTTGATATTAATAATCAAAAAATTACGGTTTCTAAACCCGTTTGCCATGCTTGATAACTGTGGTAAATATACCCCTGAACAGGACGGCACGTGTTTCGGAACCGGTGATCCTTCATTCAGCTCAAAAGGACCCAATTGAACGGAAGCGGAGTGTGTCCTGCGCCTCTGTTGTGATCCGGCAAGTCTTACAGTTCCAAACTCGTCGACCTAACTCCTTGCTTAAGCCACACTACGTTGGGTTCGAATCAACGCAATGAGCGTAACCCTCGATAACGTTTAATTCAGAAACACACACCCTAGGTCTAACAGGTGTCCTAATAGCTCGAGCGATGCCGCCGCGCCTTTACCGCAACGGCACTATTTTAACAATGGCTGTTTACAGAGATGCACAGTATTTAAGTCGGGCAATATTGCTTTGAAAATTGTAAATGACATTGAAAAAACCCTCGCTCCTCATTCCTTGCGTTGCTGCGCTCGCGCGATGACGCGTGACCACATAGGACACTCAAAACCGATTTGTATCCTGCCTCCACGATATAGGAGAAAGTCTTAGTGTGGAGGTAACGTTATATTATTTTTTATTACACGATCGTACGATCAAACTCATCGTACGATCGTTATTAAGCATTTGTTGTGCTCGCGCAATGACTTCAGGCATCAATTAAGATACTCAAGAAATGTGTGTGTTTAATATCGTCGTGCGACGAAATTGCATTGTTTGCGTGCGTTCATGCCTGCGTGCGTGCCGCACATCATAGATAAATTCTAGTTTCTTTAATTTTCAAAAAGTGTTAATTTTTGGAATTACTTCTTTTTTTGATCGTTTCAATTCTATAATCTAATTAGCTCTTCTACTCATAAAACGACGTCGATTGCCGTAAACCGCATTAAAGTCAGTTGATCCAGAACCTGTTCTGATGTTTTTAAAGCGTTTTGCATTTGAAATTAGCGGGAAGTTGCAGGGATGGCCTGTACAGTCAACTGTATTTTTTTCTACATTATGGCCTTTGATATTGTGGTTTGGTCACAATAATACTGCCAATGTCCAGTCTATGGTCTGTCACATCTTGTCTTGAGGCTTTTTGGTTTGAGAGGAGTTGGCTGTTTTTGGGTGACAATGTGGCTAAGGACAAATCCCGACTAAATGCAGAGTTATGTGCAACACAATACAGAACAAACATCTAGTTATTAGAGGGGAGTAGCCTGAGCAGGGATTAGAAAATAAGTTTAACTAAAGTAAATATTAATAATTATATTTTTAAAATGTTAGTTTTGTTATTTTTTTTTTATAGGATAGGGTGACAAACTAGCACACAGTCTACCTGATGGTAAGTGGTTGCTGCGGCCCATAGACATCTACATCTATCCTCGATTACAAATCAAAATGCAGATGTGTTGTCACCCGTGAGGACTAAGATGGAATGCCTCGTTTCCAGTAAAAAGGGTCTCCAGTTCTCTACACTCACCATACGAAACACAGCGGCATTAGGCTACTATTTTACGTTGATATTCTGTGAGAGCGTGGTCCTTACAAGGTCGAGCTGACCCATTTTTGCTACAACTATACTACTAATATATGAGATGTCTACCACGTAAAAGTTGTTAAGTGTTATTTGATTCTTTGCAAAAACTTTCCCTACAGGTAACCCCAGAAGACTTGAAAGCAAATGCAGAGTATATAAAGATGGCAGATCACTATGTGCCAGTACCTGGAGGCTCCAACAACAACAATTATGCCAATGTCGAGCTGATTGTGGATATTGCTGTCAGGACTCAAGTACAGGTGAGATTTTCATATGTTAAATGTAAAAGCCTTAAGAGAGATCCATATCTAGCATTGTATTAATTAATTCCTGCTTCGTTGGTTGTAAACTCGACTGCTGTTCATGAGGTCGTGGGTTCGAATCTCAGGTCAGGTCAAAAAATCAGTTATTCAGTTTTTCTCTCAAAAAATTCAGAATAGCGGCCTGGAGTCAGAAAATTGGCGGTGTTTCACCCACATACCTCGGAAAACATGTAAAGCCGTTGGTCCTACGCCTGATCTCCTTCTACTCGTGTCAGATTGCGGTCCCATTGGACTACGACAGTGACGGAACAGAGTGCACATGCCGATGGCTAGTCTACGTTGAGACTGACCGCCGTGACCGAAATTCGGTCTGGAAGAGATTATGATGAACCAATGCTAAATATTTCAGGCGGTGTGGGCTGGCTGGGGCCACGCGTCAGAGAACCCCAAACTGCCGGAGTTACTTCACCGAGCCGGTGTGGTATTCATCGGACCTCCCGAGAAAGCTATGTGGGCGCTGGGAGACAAGATCGCATCCTCCATCGTTGCACAGACAGCTGACATACCAACATTGCCCTGGAGTGGAAGCAGTGAGTGGGATCGATATTGATCTTAAGTTAAAAATAATTAATAAGAAATTTACAGAAAAAATACACTTTGAGATATAATATTTAAAATACACAATTACATGTGTGTGGGTAAAAACCTATTTATTGAAGAAAACCTACAATACACTAATCTCAGCTTGTCTTGTAGACTTTTTTATTTTTGCATTATAACTTTACTATTGTTGGAAATGAAACACATTGGTAGCATATACTATTGGCTCAAACATACTCGCTTATGTACATATTTAGACTCGAACACCACTTGATCTAATCAGGTAAAATGTCTTATCCAAAAAAAGGAGATGAAAGAAATACCTGTTGACAGAATACAAAACAATAACATTTGTTTTATTTAATATTTTTTTTACATGTACTGCACAGATCTATATTTATTTATTCAAATGAACTACGTAACTTACGTATTATATATGCGCATACATCATAATTCAGTATGGAAACTTTTTATGGTGTTGTTTTTATGTTTTTGTTTTTTTTTAATAAGAGCACCAAGTATATTAGTTTTGTTATATGAGTAATAGTTAATTTGTTATAGTTTTACAAATTTTTACTTATGTTCATGATTTTCATCAACAATGATGAGAGTGTGCTGAAGATTTCTCTACCTTTGTTAGCCATAAACAGGTAATAATAGAAGTAGTAAAATTTAAAGTGACTTCAATATAAACAAAATACAAACATCATCAGTGTAGTCAAAGTCAATTAAATACGATTAGTATTATTAACCCTTCAGCCCCCAAGCGGTCTCATGAGACCGCGCCTATATTCTGTCATATCCTCATGAGGTCGTACCCACTCAAAGCACTTTAACCCTTAAAAAATTATATATAGAGACTACTTTTCCATGAAGAAGTTTGGCATTACATAAGCAATATGAAATACTCTATCCTCTAGAGCAATACAAAACTGTTATCCTGTGAATATTTATTCATAATCTACGTTTATTTCGTACGCCATTTTCGCGTGAATGTTATGGTTGATTTTTTTTATTTTTCTACTGTTTTATTAGTGTTTTAGTATAGTATTTTATTATAAAATTGTAAGGATAGTTTTTGTGTAAATATAATTTATTTTTTTACGTAAATAATTTCGAGTAATATATATTGAATTAATTGTTGTTTTCGACAGTAGCCTAATGACAGGGCGCGGACCGCGAACTCAAAAAGGTCGTGGGTTTCGACTACTGGCGTGAACCACTCGTAACACAAGCAATTTAAGCTTACCACGAGTGGTTAAGGGGAATATTAGTAATATTTAGGTATAGCATTGTTAATATTCTTTTTTTTTAAAAAAAAATCTGATTTTCAGGCTGTCGACATTCGCTTGGTATGTTTTGTTTTTGTTATCAAAATACAATAGTCTTTTTGTAATAATTAAAACCTGACTTTTATATAGAGAATTTTGTATAGATTTTATAATGCCAAACTTCTTCATAGAAAGGTAGTCTCAAAGATTCTTCATAGGTTTTAAGAGCTGCGGGTGGGTGCCGTCGCATGCGACCGCTCGGGATTTGCCGGGCGCATGCGACTGCATGAGAATTTTAAGGGGCCTGAGTTAAGGATACTCATGTGATGTTTTGGACACATGAAAAGAAGCTTTCAAATAAGAAAAGAATCTTGGTTAACCAGAAAAAAGTTCTGATGTAACACATAAAAAACATACAGTCGAATTGAGTAACTCCTCCTTTCTTTGAAGTTGGTTAAAACTCAAAATTTGACATTTTACAATATATCTATCATTGATTAGGAATCATGAATGCAGATTCGTTAGCAGCCCTGAGGATTAAGATGGAATGTCTCATTACCAATAAATAGGGTCTTCGGTTCTCCACACTCACCATACGAAACATGTTGGTGGTCATTGAAGGCGTGTTTGCAGTAATACTATGAGTATGTAAGGGCCCTGTGTATTATCCACTAACTTTAACGTGGTAGAAGGACAAATGGGTTATCTCAACGGAGGCTGCACCTTGCTTGCTCAGAATACAAGTATGAAAACAGAATAATGCTGTTGTTCTTCATTTTTCGTGTGATGGGAACCAGAGACCCTTTTTACTAGTAACATCTAAGTCCTAAGCCCCTGTAAACATCTGCATTTTGATTCTTAATCTATGATAAATATATCGGCGTTATTTACCTGCACTTCTATTAAATAAGTAAAGAAAAATCCTGTCAGTTGTCTTCATCACCCTGAAATAATTTATGTTCAATGTGAACTCTTCTGTAATGAAAAATTTTTCATTGACCAGACGTCCAGATGTTTGCTATACATTACTGATTTTGACTCTAGGTCAGTTTCAAGTAAGTCCACTAATGGATTTAATATTGTATAAAGTCTGGGAACAGGATCATTTTGATAATAAATTACTAAACAATAAGAAACAACCTAATCCATTTCAACCTAAAAAAATATTATTATAATTGGACTAATATTACAGGCCAGGGTTACAGCATATCAAAGTCCACTGCTGAATGTAGGCCTCCATAGATTGCCCGATGGCATTTGTTAGCGACTTGGTAACCGCAAAATCCTGGTTAAGACGACACATCGAAAACGCTATCGCCGTACTGATCCGAGTGAATACATAATTTCTACAAAAACTTGAAGAAACGCTGTCGTAAGGTCTAAAATTGCGTAGCGCCCGCGACGATTAAAAGCGCTTAGAAATTGTCAGAATCTTAAAATATTTTTTTAAAAAATTATTGGTTTAAGTTATCAAGTAATGAGCAAGTAAATTATGAATATTGATGTTATGAATATATTTGAGTGATTCCCAAGTCCGTATAGATCAAATGATTTCGTTGTAATTTCAACTATAGTGATTTTTTAGAGGTGTTTTCGCAAATAATTATGATCGAGTCAAAAATTATACAATCGTGTTTTTGAGCAATCAAATTCAAGATTAAGACATGAATTTACCTATATCAAAATCCCACTTTCGTTAGTGGTGTCATAGTCCTATACTATTCGATGAAAGGAGGTGCATTTTTTCACGGTGTCGCCTTAAGTTTCTCTCTGTTGCCTTCTATGACACCCATGGGATGATGTAGTGGATGTTCTTACACTGTCACTAAATTAAACTATTTGACAACAGATCTAAAAGCCGAATATAACAGCAAGAAAATCAAGATATCATCGGAATTGTTTGGCAAGGGCTGCGTGTCGACTGTTGAGCAAGGTCTTCAAGCTGCGCACAAAATTGGTAAGTGTGGCAACACCTACCTCTTGCTATGGACACCATTTATTAAATAAATTCTTAAAAAACGTTCTCCCCAAACACTAGGATTTTCTCCTGTATCGTGGAGATCCAGACCCGGAACAATTATTTGTAGCCCATACAAATACTTGTTCCGTGCGGGATTCGAACCCGCGGCTGTCAGCGCTGCAACTGAATGCTAGTCCACTGCGCCACGGAGCCGTCTATTGATTGATTGATTACATGTTTAGATTCCATGAATTAGATGGTTCCATGCTTGTGTTTTTTTTTTTACAATGTTTAAAGCTTTTATCTTGTTGTTATGTATGAAAAACCAGCTTAGTATTTTATATTATTGTTAAAGATATTATTAAAAAAAGTTAGTAAATGTAAGTTTTTTTCTCATATATTTGTTTCAATTATGTGATGGCTTATGGTACACACTTTTTAAACAGGATTTCCTGTAATGATCAAGGCATCAGAAGGTGGTGGCGGTAAAGGTATTAGAAAAGTTGAAAACCCTGACGACTTCGCGAATATGTTCCGACAGGTAAATATAAATGGAGATTATACATAATTTCTAATAGTTTAATGTTTATGTCTGAGTTAATTAATGATATTTTTTTGACGGATTATATCACATATATTTACTTATTTTATATTCCCGGGATCGAGTTTAGACGATGGGGGGTAATATTTTAACCATAATAAGTATTATACTCCATCTAGTGGGGGACCGCCCTTCATTGCTTACCGGTATGAGGTTGCCAGTAGAGGTTTCTTCCCTATCGTTTGTCGATTCTTAGAGCTATATGACCAGCTCATTGTCACTTCAGCTTACTAATCCATACAGTTGGCTTAGACCCGTACTTTGTGGACTTTTAAAGGACTGTAATGATGATAATGATGATGATGATGAAGATGTATTGACATATGAAAGCGTGACAACTATGGGAAATATTCCCCATATGAGGCAATCAAGCGGGCCTATGTTCAGCAGTGGTCTTCAATAGGCTCTAACTGCAATGATTAGGCCACAGAGTTTTCTTATTACTTAATTTTTCAGGTACAAGCGGAAGTACCCGGGTCTCCTATCTTTGTGATGAAGCTGGCCAAGTCAGCTAGGCACTTGGAAGTGCAACTTTTAGCGGACCAGTACGGTGAGTTCAGTGAATGAGAACAGACTATTATGGTTTATATAGATAAGTGCGAGTGTTGCTGAATAAATGCATGTGTATTGTATTTTTTTATAGAAGAGGGGGGCAAACGAGCATGTGGCTCACCTGATGTTTAGTGACTACCGCCGCCCATCATCAACCGCAACACCAGGGGAATTGCAGGTGCGTTGCCGGCCCTTTAGAAAGGAGTAAGCTCTTTTCTTGAAGGTCCCCAGGTCGTATCGGCCCGGAAAAATCGCCGGTGATAAACTATTCCACAGAGAGGTCGTACGCGGAAGAAAACTCCTCTTGAAACGTACAGTGGTGGACCGCCAAGCATCCAGATGTTGTTGATGGTATCGGGACGTTTGCCGCGTAATGCGTTCACGAAATTTGGTGGCTTGGATTAATCCGAACAATTCCTCAGAGCACTCCCCATGGTATATGCGAAAGATAATGCAAAGAAATGCAACATCTCTTCGCAGCGCCAGTGAATCGAGCCGATCGGAAAGCACTCGCTCGTCAGTGATTCGAGCCGCTCTGCGCTGGATGTGGTCAAGTGGAAGGAGCTGGTACTGGGGAGCCCCAGCCCAGAGATGGGAACAGTATTCCATGTACGGCCGAACCTACGCCTTGTGAAGTTGCAGGCCATGTGCCGGCATGAAATACTGTCCCGCTTTCCTGAGCACGCCAAGCTTTTTTAGAGGCCTCTTCCAAGTGACCACGAAACTGCATGTCACTCGATATGTCGACGCGGAGGATTCCGATACTGACTGAGGCAACAAGGGGAGTGCCTTGGAACTGAGGAGATACGACAAAGGGGTTCTTTTTAGCGGTTAACGCGCAAAGTTGTGTCTTCTGGGGGTTAAACTGGATTAAATTTAGTCGCCCCCAATCCGAGACTCTGTTCAGCAAAGACTCGACTTCAGACACAAGTTTGTCCCGGTACTCGGAGACGTTTTGCCGAGAAATATTGGCACGGCCGGTGTATAGAGCATCACCAGTGCTGTCATCCTCATAGCAATGAATGTTACCGGTTTGCAACATATCATAAATATGCAGAAGAAACACCGTTGGTGATAGCAGGTACCCTTGTGGAATACCAGCAATAATAGGCTTGTAATCGGAGCTTGCACCGTCTGCAACGACCTTGATGGTCCGATCTGCAGGAAAGCTGGTGATCCAATCACACAATTTCTCGGGAAGCCCATAGGAAGGGAGCTTCGAAATAAGTGCTTTGTGCCAAATCCGATCGAAGGCCTTCGCAATGTCCAAACTAACGGCCAATGGCCAATAACAATAGTTAGGTAGACCAGAAGATCACCAGCTGGCCGACCACGGTGAAAACCGTATTGGCGATCGCTAATCAGCTGGTGATCCTCAAGGTACCTTATGATCTGGCAGTTAACAATTGACTCCATTATTTTGGAGAACAAGGAGGTGATGGCGATAGGTCGGTAGTTGGACGGGTCTGAGCGCTCGCCTTTTTTAGGCATCGGGTGGACGAAAGCCGTCTTCCATGATTTTGGGACTACGCCTAGGGAGTAGGAGTACCGGAAAAGACGCGTTAAAACCGGTCTCAACTCTGGAGCACACATCCACATATCATCTTATTGTCATCTTAACCATGGAATACTATAATACACAATAGAATGGTTGGCAACCATATTTTGTAGGAGGATTGGCGTCGCCGGGAGCACACAAACAAGCAATTACACATACATAAATATTTATTTTTGTTTCTAATATTCACAAAATGTAAATAGTTTCGACTTAGTGGTTGTAGAATATGTCTCATTTATTTAAATTCCATTTCCCGCTGTGCTTTCGACACGTAATTATTGTATAATTTGCCATTTTTTTAAATAATTTGCATGCAGCGACGCTTGACACGAAAATTGGAAACGATTGATTGTGTTGACATTTATAGGTGTTGATTGACATGTTAGTGACAAGTTAGTGGCTACAAAGGGCTCCGCCCACTCCCCCATTCTGTTATGTGTGTATTATAGTATTCTATGGTCTTAACGCTTTTGTTGTCGCTACACCATACATACATACATGCAAGGGTAGAGAGCATGTTGCTGACTTCAATTTAATAACCAAACTTGTCAGCCCCAAGCACAGGCACAAATGAGCCGATTTCTTAATAGGATACAGAAATTGATTACATGAGAGTACATTATCTATATTGCAGATTAGAGAATTATTTACTAGCTGATAGGACTTCTTTTCTGCTTACGAATCCGTTTGGATAGGTAGCCCCTTCTTGCAAATTTTTGCCGGCAAAGAGAAGTGCTTACACTGTTGTCCGGTGTAGATAGCCAGTATAAATTACAAGCTGTGTTAATCGTTCCTTAGAAGTGACAATGTATTTGTAGCCTTCTTTTAAATAAAACCAGTTTTTACAGATTTTATCGCGTATATTATAGTCAACCAAATCGTAAGAAATACATTTTGACACCTATCAGACTTATTGCACCAAGCATGCCAACCAAAAAAATGGGAACGTATGATATTCGATTCTTAAAAAATCGATATCGATTATTTAGAGTTGGTAGTAATTTACAGTTTGGTTAGTATAATACCATAATAAATTAAAAACGGATAAATTAAAACACCAGATTTATCAGTTGCTTTGTATTTATTGTAATGAAATATAGATAACTTCATAGTTCTTCGAATTTACGTAAAAGGTTATTTTAAATCGTGCGAGTACGCTTGTGCAAAGTTATTGCGGAATGATTAATGTGAAACGTCAAAAGGTATTTCTTAGATTTGGTTGACTATAACTTATTTTATATTCTCAACGTTTCGAGCACTTTACAACACCCATAGTCACTGGGACTGAGGCGTTCGTCGTCCTAATGTCGTAGTGAACCACGGCTAATTTCAGATACAAAAAAAATTATAAATTTTTGTTCCGATCTACTCAGTATGAACTTATAGTATATTGAAGTCTTGCAGTTGTATGCTTGAATTGGGATTTAATTTTGTAGTCTTCTACTCTTTCAGTAGTTATTCATTAACTGTCAAATGAACTATGTAAGTTCGTTTTTCACTTGATCGTTGTTTAAAAAAAACTATTTGAACTTTGTGCATTAGTTTTTACAATATACTAATGCACCGGTACAAATAGGATTTCTTCTAATGTTCTGCTGTAAACTTCAAAATTATTTTCATTAGCTCTTTTTGAAGAACCAGAGATATATAAATATATGTTAACTAAACCAGTGTCGTCGGCTAAGGTGACTTTTTTATAGAGAACCATAAAAATGAATGGGACTGACATATTTACAGTTTACACGTTTTCTTTCTAGGCAATGCGATTTCTCTGTTCGGACGTGACTGCTCCATCCAGCGTCGGCACCAGAAGATCATAGAAGAGGCACCGGCGGCTGTCGCTAGGCCCGAAGTCTTTATCGAGATGGAAAAGGTGACCTTTTTCAGTACAATTTATTTTTTTTTTTAATTTCCGAGATGTATGATTGAGAGACAATGATTTTTATAAATAGGCAGATACAGAGAGAGAGGGGCAGAAGGGGAGAAGGAGAAGCAGGTGGGAGAAAATGAGAGAGGGGAGGGAGAAAAAGAGGGAAGGGAGAAAGGGAGAGAGTAGTCATGGGCGTTTTTGGATTTGAACGCAAACCGATATTTCTCCGATTTCAGATTTCAAAATCGATTTCAAAAACCGTTTTTAAAAATCCTTTTTCAGTAGCGCTTAGCAACGCCAATTCGTTTGCGTACTTAGTATTCGTTTTATAAGTTAATGAAACGACAAACCCAAATGTAACACAGAAACAGATTTGCGCGATTATGCTTCATGTCTTAATTTAGCAGAAAAGTTTTTTTTAATGAAAATCAAGATTTTCCAGCGCATTGAAAAATTTACTATTATTTCTGAATATATTTCTATATTTGTTTTGTTTTAATTTTTACTTGATAGTTAAAATAATTAATATTAAAATGTTATATAAACTTATTTATAAATTATACACTCGCACACAATTCACTTACTTAGTTAACACATTTTCATTATCTTTACTTTAAACTCCCAAACAAACAGGCAATAAACATCAGTAATTATCTTGCAATTCACTGATACGACTGACCGGCGCACTTGTCACCAAGGTGAAATTTGCATCTTAACGAAAAAGATATGAAAAGAATATTTCTATTAAGCAAACACTAAACCAAAAATAGAAATATATCATCACACATCGTCGCAAATATAGTCTTTAACAACTCAATAATAAGAACGATATTGATAGCATATTTCAAAAATTTTAGTAAGCAACTACCCAAACACGGAACCGAGAATTCATCATCGCATAATCTCACAAACCAAATATAGACTTTAAGTACTTAGAAGTAAGGATAATATTGATAGCATATTTTAATGTGTAAAATCTAAATCCCAAAATTCACGCCATCCTTTTCATTCCGCTATGTCATGTTAGGTTAGAAAGAGGGAAACTGAGAAAGCGGATTTCTACGCATCAGTTTGAGTTCTATTTGGAAATTGTCGATTCAGATTCGTTTGAGATCGTAAGAGTGCTTAGTTAGGTCATATGATGCGTATCGATTTGTGTTCGAAATCGGATTTTAGTTTCGTTTTGATATATCTGACGCATGCCTAGAAGAGAGGTATGTGAAGAGAGAAAAAGAGGAAGGGATCTTTTTTTGACAAGTATATTTATTTGTCTCTGGAGACTTTTAGTTTAAATCGTTAGGATGATTTTTCCTTTTAAAGTGTAGATGCTTTAGGGTTATAATGATAAAGGATTATTTTGGCATAATAATTAGACATTAATTAGATATTATTAAGCCAAAATATGTATGACCATACTGTGAGTTAGATCCCTTTTCCATAACTACGTCATGTAGTGTGAACTACATGTGTGACCTTAAGCATTTTTTAAACGTTTGTTTTGCAGGCGGCAGTGCGGCTGGCGAAGATGGTGGGGTACGTGAGCGCGGGCACGGTGGAGTACCTGTACGAGCAGGCCACGGGCGCTTACTTCTTCCTGGAGCTGAACCCGCGCCTGCAGGTGGAGCACCCCTGCACCGAGATGGTGGCCGACGTGAACCTGCCCGCCGCGCAGCTGCAGGTACCCTAGCACTACTGCCTGCATCTGAGCCCGCCCCTGCAGGTGGAGCACCCCCGCACTGAAACGGTGGTCGACGTAAACCTGCCTGCGCAAAGTAGTGATGGTATCAATCAAATTTTTTGAACGATTGACTGAGCCTTCATGTGACCTATGATTGACTGTTTCCACAAATTGTGAATGCAAAAGTAATTCGCTTTTTTTCTACGTAGTATTCAAAATAATTGCAATAATCGTTTCGACCAATCTATATACTTTACAAAATTTTATAATATTTATATATATATATATATATATATATATATATATATATATATATATATATATATATAGTGTAATAAAGGCAGAAACGCTTGTGTGTCAGTGAAAGTTTGAGAAATGACTATTTCATCCATGGAGATAAGAGAGAAGGAGAACGATCGCTACGTGCTAAAGCATAGTCCGCCTGTCCCTTAACTGCCGTCGGTAAGTAGTATCTGCGAAGTTCGCTGATTATGAGTACAAGCAGATGAAGTTAGTTGAATAATGTACAAATTTTCTTCGCGGCATTGGTGAGAAAATAATCGCTCCGTAATTTTGTAATTTTTGACAAAAGGAAACATTAAAAAATGGTGAAATATTGTATTGTGCGTGGATGTGCAAGTGGTTTAGCATCTAATCGCCCCCTGTCCCGCTGTGCCCCTACACTTGCTCTGCACAAGTACATTCATTTCCCAACTGTAAGGTCTTTAAACTGTGATAATATTATAATTATGACCTACTTTGGTTCATAAATATTGAATGTGTTATGAACTTTCATATCTAATAAAGCTGGATCAGTCAGATCCATAACGGAAGAAATGCCTCTACACATCCTAACTGATTGGGGGCCTTAATGCGCAAACGTAACACTCGTCTGGGAAACTATCTACTCCGCCCAATAGAAGTGAAATTGCTCACGGCTCAGCAACTCCTTCTATTCATTGAAGACATAGCGCTTAGCCGTGAACTATAGCCATAGCAGCCTTCTAGGTCGCAGTGATACTGGTCTCTTTCCTTAGACCTACATAGCTGCTCGCACATAATAAAAAAAAAGACGGGTTGCACTCCGGAAGTGCCGGCAGAAGTGAAAAATTGAGTATTAACGTTGTGCATTTTTGATATTTTAGAATGATTAGGGAATAATTTTGCACGCATTGCTTTAATTATCACACATATACATTCGCGCAAGCGCCCTGCGCCGCCTAAACGAAACAACAGGCGCAGGCATACATTTTCTCCGCGCCGTAGAAGGAGAGGGGGATACTTCCTCTCCTACGCCGCGCCGGCTGTCTCTCTCTCTTTCCATCCGTATTACGAATTTTCGCTCAGGGTCACGTGCCCTGACGCGAGTTTAACATTTTTTACCCATTACAAAAAGTGTACAATGCCGCTAAAGAAGTTTTCACTTCAAAAAGCTGGATCAGTTACTAGAGAGTATTGGAGAAGAGATGTCGCTAGTGGCACCGTTAACATCGAGCTCGTAAATAAAAATAGTAAATAAATAGTCTTATCGTGATAGTAAGCGGATATTTGTTATGATTCAGTATATTTGGTGCTAATATATACTATATAATGTTATCAGTGCAAAAACTATAAGATTAATTGCATAATCAAACAATTTAATGTGAAGTGTAAAAACTAGTGCAAAACGATAAAAACTTAGTGATTGTAACAATTGAATAGTGCCGTGAGTTTATTTTTACCTTAGTTATACCTAATCATGCATATATATCAATATTTAATAACACAAATCTAAAATTTCATATAATATTTTTATGCAAGACCGTTGACAGACTCGAAAATTTAAAAAAAATCTACATGAACAATACATCATAATATTATTCATAACAGTGCCATCTAGTAAGGTATAATCGACCTGCACATAACACTCAACAACATGACATCTAAATTCAATGTGAAAACTACTAATAGCGGCCGCAAGATGCCGATAGTAGTAACATGTTATAAATGCAAAAACTTAGTTGATATAAAGAAAACTGCAATATGTTCATTATGTAATAATAGATATGATTTAGACTGTGATGGCTACCCGGAAAAAACATACCGCCTAATGGATCAAGAAAGAAAAAAGAAATGGCGATGCAAAACATGTATAAAAAATAAAAAAGATGTGAATAGCGACATAACTAATATCACAGTGAGAAAAAAACAAAACCTCCCCGGACAATGTACATCCCTAGAAGAATCAGGTTATACAGAGAAATTGCAAGGTTTTGAATCTTTACAGGTATCGGAGAAAGATACATCTTACACATTAGACTCGCACATACTCACGGACTATAATATATCTGATGTATCATTTTCAACGCCGAGTAAATTATCAAAGAGCGTAGACGGCACAATGTCTGAGACAACGTCAATCTCAGAAATGAAATCTACAATATCTCAGTTAAAGGGTAACCTTCGTAGTACTCAAAATGAGTTAGAAAACATAATATTAGAAAATAATGATCTTCACAGACAGATAAATAAGTTAACCACAGAAATTAAAATACTAAAATCTCTATGCTATTCCCCCATAAAAATTGATAGTCCTCAAACAGGCAATACATCTAAGAAGAAGAGACACTCCATGCTACTTCACAGTCTATCCTCCATGCCATCCTCACCGATAGTCACGTCATACAACGATCCCCACCCTAATTCGACGATATCAAGCCTTCAACAAAAAATTATCAACTTGCAACAAGAATTAAAAGATGCAGAAAAAGAGATCATAACTCTCAAAAAAAAAATTATAAATCTGACACAAAATACTCACTGTGAAACCAAGGATAAATCGAGCAAGACCTCAAAACCTGTGACGAGACAGCAAAATAACAGCCATGAAAAAAATTATTTACATCATCGGTTCTCAACAATGCGTTGGCCTAGCCGCAGCATTATCACACTCAAGATCAGAGACACAATATGAACATTATGGAGTTATTGGTGAAACGAAATCCTATGCACCAAGTAACGAAATAATAAAAAATTGCCGCAACATGGAATTAAAACCGGATGATAAATTAGTCATATGTTTAGGAGAAAATGATCATAATTTAAAACAAGTTTTGTCACAATTACAAACTATAATAGATACTTTTAGTAAAAATACAATAATTGTACTTAATGTTATTAAAAATAGGTACATAAATGTTAATGATTTAAACTATAGTATCAAAAATATTTGCGAAAAACGTAAAAATTGTAAATTTGTAGATTGTAAAAAATATTCAAATCGCTTCGACATTTGTAAATCAATAAATTATGCTATTGACTATAGTGACTACGCAGAAAAATATTTAAATCCTAGTGAAATTAGTAAAAGAATAGCGAGTAATAAGCCAAGTTTTAAATTATGTAAAACCATAAATAAACCAAAAAAAGGAACAATTCCCTTCTACTTTAAAAAAAAAAATTGACGAACACTCAAAACCTTCTGTTATTTATAAGAAAGGGACCATGCCCTATTATTTTCCAGTAATAAAAAAGAACAATAAATTTTTTCGACCATAAAAATTTAACTAATACTCATCATTTTAGTATTCTTCACCAAAACATTGCTAGTGTTTTGTCAAAGAAAGATTTAATAGACGTAACTATAGAGGAGTTAAGAGCAAAAAATAATGATCCGGATGTAATATGTCTTTCCGAAACTTTCATAAAAAAAGGTTGTGAGAGTTATGTAAGAATATGTGGGTATGACATGGCCGCCAACTTCTGCAGAGAAAAACAAAGAGGTGGAACATGTATTTTAGTTAAAAAGGGTATAATGTTCAATGAATTATCATTCATAAAAAAGTATGCTACCCAGAATACGTTCGAGGCATGCGGCATAGAAATCATACATATTAAATTAATTACTATTTGTCTCTACAGAACCCCCCAATCCGACCCAGCACAGTTCTTATTTAAGTTAAACACACTTTTGCATGACCTAACTGTAAAATACAAATCGAAAGTACATATAGTTATAGCTGGAGACTTTAATATAAACACACTAAAAAAAGGCAAAATCACAAACTATTTACAAGATTTGTCCTACAATTATAACTTGAAAATACATTTCAATGTTCCTACACGTAGGTCATCCTGTATAGATCATATATTAAGTAACATTAAAAATGCGACGGCAACATTGCTACCACTGTATCTTTCCGATCATGATACAGCACAATTGTTAAGCTTTCCTATAAAAGGTAAGCCACAAAAACATGCTATATATTATGTTTACAAGAGAGACTACAACTTAGATAACATCAGGAAGTTTAAAGAATGCCTGAAGAATTTGTCATGGTCTGAGGCATACATGGAAAATGATGCTAACACAGCATTCAGCCGATTTCATGAATTATTCTGCCTTTTCTACTATCTCTGTTTTCCAAAACAACGACTTAAAATAAATTTACAAAATAAAAAACAAAATTGGATAAGCAAAGGACTCAAAGTAAGTTGTAAAGAAAAACGAATGTTAAGATTTAAATACTATAAAAATAAAAGTAAGGCTAACAGACTACGTTACCTATCATATTCTAAGCTCTTAAAAAAATGTGTATTTAATTTAAAAAAAGAATGCTAATATTAAGTTTATAAATAAAAATAATAACAAATGTAAAGCAACATGGACCATTATCAAAAAAGAAATATCTAACCCATATGACAAGAAAAATATAGAAAAAATTATAGCTAATAATAAAGTTCTTACGAATCCTGTAGATATAGCTTCTGCCTTTAACAATCATTTTATTGATTTAACCCGTGAATCAACAACACACACTAAAGCGAAAAATATAACCATTAACAGCGCGAATGTCAACTCTATGTTTCTTAGACCTATGTCTGAAAATGAGGTTAGAAGGGAAATAATGCTATTAAAAAATACTAGCTCTGAAGGCCACGATGACATAAACACAAAAATAATAAGAAAATGTATAATTGAATTAATTGAAATCTTGACATATTTAATAAATTTTTCATTTTCGTGTGGAATCTTTCCAGATACATTGAAACTATCAATAGTTAAGCCGCTGTTTAAAAAAGGCGAGAAAGATGATATTAATAATTATCGACCAATAACCCTAATATCCGTAATATCAAAAATATATGAAAAATGCATGTATAAAAGACTTATTGAATTTTGTAATAAATATCACATTATATCAAACGAACAGTACGGTTTTCAAAAAGATAAATCTACAACTTTGGCGATATTTTCACTCATGAAAATAATACTATCAAATATCAATGATAATAATTTCACAACGGGACTATTTTTTGACCTATCTAAAGCCTTTGACCTAGTTTCACATGACCTATTGTTACAAAAATTGGAAAAGATTGGAATTAGAGGACCAACCCTACATTGGATAACATCATATCTTTATAATAGAAAACAATGTGTTATTATTACTAAAGCCGATGTAAATGGGGACATAATTCCATACTCGTCCGAATACCGAAACAAGAAATATGGCGTTCCACAGGGAAGTGTTCTCGGTCCAATTCTGTTTTTGTTGTACTTAAATGACATTGTTAATATTACTAAGCATAAATTTATTCTATTTGCTGATGACATTTCAATAATCGTGACTTCCAATAAAAAAAATAATAACTTGAGTGACCACGAAGCTGACATAAATAATACAATAGATACTTTAATTAACTGGGTTGACATACATAATTTAAAAATTAATTTAGACAAATCTTTATATATACAATTTAATAAATGCACTAATAATAAACATAATATTAAACTTAACATTCCAAAAATAAAAGCAGCTAGTCATACGAAATTTTTAGGTTTAACTATAGATGACGATATAAATTGGAAACTACATGTAAGCGATGTCTCTATCAAAATAAATAAATTCGTGTATGCACTCAAACAAATAAAAAACATAACAAACATAAAAACCGCTGTCATGTCCTACCATGCATATGTAGAATCTCTACTACGGTATGGTCTTATAATGTGGGGCAACAGCACTGATCAAAACAAAGCATTTGTCGCGCAAAAAAAATGCATTAGAGCTATATGTGGGCAAAAACCAAATGAATCGTGTCAACCAGTGTTTAAAAAACTTGGCTTATTACCACTACCATCACTTTATATATATGAAGTATGCATGTTTGTACATAAGCACAAAACGTTGTTTGCAACGATAGATGATGTAAATCCCCGTAATCGTCGAGATCCATATAGACTTGTACTAAACGATAATCCTAGAATAAGAAAATATAATAAAAGTTGTTTATTTATGTGTGTTCACTTATATAATAAGATACCTAATTATTTAAAAATATTAAATACAAGATCATTTAAATTAAAATTGTATCAGTGGCTAAATAATTGTAATTTCTATAGTGTCAAGGATTTTTGTAGCCAAAAATATTAATGTAAAAAATTTTGCATGCTATGAATAACCGTAGCAAAACATGCGATCTGAAACGTTCTGTAAAATCTATTATATACCATGTTTTGTGCAAATAAAATATTATTATTATTATTATTATTATTATTATTATTATTAGAGATCTACTGCGGATATCCTCTTTACGGAATGTGCCACGGAGAGATACTTGAGCATAGATCTTTCCTCAACTCGCTGAGCGAATTTGAGCTTTTTGATACAGTCGGTGGTGGTGGACGATGGATAATTTTAAAAAGTAAGCACTGACACATGTCCTTATTTGAATTTGTATGGTTGCAACTAGATCGCCATGGGCCTGCCTTTGTACCAAATCAAGGACATCCGCCTGCTGTATGGCGAATCACCTTGGGGCATGACTCCGATCGAATTCGATGAGCCTAAGCAGCGGCCTTCACCCTGGGGTCATGTTATTGCTGCTAGGATCACTTCCGAGAATCCTGACGAGGGTAAGTCAACGCATTTTTAGTTATTTTGCACATGTGCTGTATGTTCAGTTTACTTGCTGTTAATTTTAGATCTTATATTTTAATGTGAAAGCTTACGTTAATCATTATTTATTTCTTACAAAATTTTCTTACTTTATATTTATATGATTTTCACAAGAGGAAAGAGTGAAGTGAGAGTTAAGTGTTGATAAATGAGATGTTCCGAAATATATGGGGCCTGGGCCAGGTCCTTGTACATTATACTCAAAAGTAGTGAAACACATTTAAAAACAGTTATCAATTGTACAATTATTTTATAACGGCTTTGTTTGCTGGTAAAGCACAGGAAATTACACTTGAAATTGCAACACACAACAAAAATCCGTCATGGCGGTAAGCTGTCATTTTGATTGTCACTAATGACGTTTAACATATTTATTTCATATTTTTTTGAAACTGTTGTGACAACTGACAGTTCTGTTTCTATGATTAATGGTCGCTTTGTGGTTTCTTAACATTGTCTATAAGCACAAAGTAACTAAATCGGTGCGACACCATGTTGAAAGTCGATAAAAATAATTGCTACACATCAATTGTTTACCACGACAGGATACATTTAAATGAATTATCTGTATTTTTCCAGAATTCTACAGATTTTTCTCGTTTTTTTGAGGTAGTGTACATAGACCTGGCCCATTTTGGAACATCTGCTTTAATGGAATATTGTTGGGAAAAAAGCTGCAGTTTAATCGTCTTCCGTAATGCGTAGGAGTAAAATAATCTGTCGGCGTCTGACTTTCCCTGAGTTTACAATCTGGATGGCGAGAGTGAATTTTTGTTACGCTTTGACAATGCTGTTTACCACGAGTGGGATTGTAGTCACACTGGTTTATGATAACTAAAAAGAATATTTCTTGACGGTTTCGTGTTATTTGGTGTGTTGTCATTATTAACGTGTAGATCCCGTAGGTATCAAACGTCGAAGGTAGAGGCTTTGGTCTCTCTGCAATAGAGAATTATTATTTTTTAGTAAAGTACGGGTGTATAACCTGACTAGAACACAATATAAATGTATTTCATGGATTACAACGTAAAACTAATTGAGATTGTTATAAGTAAAAGTGCTTTAATTGTTTTTAGGCTTCAAGCCATCATCAGGCACGGTCCAAGAGCTGAACTTTAGGTCTTCGAAGAATGTGTGGGGCTACTTCAGTGTCGCAGCATCTGGAGGACTGCACGAGTTTGCTGATTCACAATTTGGTCATTGCTTCTCTTGGGGCGAGACCAGGGAGCAGGCAAGAGAGTCAGTAAACCAGAGAGTTTATTATAATGTATATTTGCGATTGTTAGTCTAGATAGTTAGTCACTTATATACGGTCGCCTTTTTGGCAAGTGCCGCACCTTGTCAAACGCCGTCGCCGTGTCATCAAAGACCGCCGCGTGCGGCGTACACCCTCAGAAGAATTTGCCATTTTAAAACGAAGCGCCGTAGCGAAACGTTCTCTTTGCTACCTAACTTGTGTTTATTATTTATACTATTACAATAACCACAAGAGTAAAATAGTATTCCATTTCATTCAAGAAAAACATATATTTAATAAACAGTAAAAATAATAATAAAAAAATACGTGTGGCACTCAGTGACTGCCGCGGTAAAGCTATTGCATAGCATTTTTTATCAACTTATGCAATTATAATTATTTATTTATTTTATTTATGCAGTTAAGTCTTTGATATTAAATCAAGTTACACTTTTTGAGCGTGGTGACCGATAAGAAAACAATTTTTTTTCTCTTATTGAATAAATGAGAAGTTAATATTGTATAAAATATTTTTAATATCTTACAATACATGTAGGTTATTCAGGAATTTTTATCATTGAGTTAGCAGTTAGTGTACACGCATACGTCTAGTCGCACGCACACAAACACCGTGCCGAAGTCTGCCGAACTGAAACGACGTTAGACGATGCACGGCCTTCAAGCCACACCTCCGTGCCCGTCGGAGTGGGGGAGCGTGAGGTTTTTATTCGTTACGGAATTTCTGGATTCGGTCCCCGCGCTCAAGGCACGCGATAGAAGCTATGCAATAGCTTAAAATAAAAGCAAAATAATAAGTGCGCCTCCGAGTGTACGGACACTATCTTAGTGAACAGACTATGTTACATAGTGAAACTCCATCTCTGTTATAGGTTGAACATTTATACTTGTATTGATGTAATTCTCTCTACGTTTTACGATTGATTCATAATAAAAAATAGCAATTACATTTTATTACCAAATATTGTAGAATATGTATCAATGTCATCTCAATAACTTTACGACTCTAACAGATTTTATCTCAGACTATTTTCTTTGAGATGCAGTGATTAACATATAACAGGAGACATTTTAATATGTTAATGCATATTTATTACCTTAAATTAACTATTGCCCGCGGCTACGCCGTGTCTCTCGCTACGTCTGAATCCACATTATTTCAAAGATCACAGCTCATGTTCAACTTTTGGGTTTGCCCACGGCTGCATTAATATTTTTGTTTCTACAACCCATCAAATAAAAAAAATGCATTATGTATAAAATTACTATTACGTTAAATAAGTTTTCTGTGGCTAAACTTTTCAATGTATTTGATAGAATTTTTGTTGTACGACGGTAAAAAGCTACATAGAATTCCTGGTATCACTTACAGTGTTTAGCGCCACTCTGTTTATATAAACCACTTGTTTTTCAGGAACCTGGTGATAGCTCTGAAGGAGCTGAGCATCCGTGGAGATTTCCGCACGACGGTTGAATATCTGATCACGCTGCTGGAGACCGCCGCCTTCCAGGACAACAACATCGACACCAGCTGGCTGGACGCACTCATCGCAGAGAGAGTACGTCGCTTATTGTTTTGAACTATTACGAGCAGTACGTTCATATTACGTACTATCGTATCTTATGCTTAGTCTGCGTACATAGTAAAGTTAGAACTTATACACAGTACGCGCGCGAGGTCCGCGGAATCGGGGACTGAGGTAGTGGGCGGGTGTACATCGCGCTCGACCGTCGCTTCACATCCCGAACGCTCCCAGTACTGGTGTCGACCTCGATGGGAGAGCGCTTATCGAGTTCTGTTTTTAAGTTAATAGCTGTTACTTTGTACTTTAAATAGGACTAAACTAAAATGTTTTTTGTGTTTACAAATAGTTGTTTAATTTCGACGAAAAAGAAATAGCGAGTACAAGCAATGACAACAGGCAGAGAAAAAAAAAATATCGTTTATATTCGATGTGTGAGGAAGAAAAGAGATCTAACAAATTCACGTTTACTGTTAACCAGGCACTCTATCGAGCAGTATATTACACAGGTCTGTTGAAAAGTGTGTTGAGGAAAATCAAGAAAGAACCTGCAGACCTGTAAGGACATTTGAAATCGTCATCTAAATAAGCGAAAAATTATCCGAGAAAGAAAGATTAAATTTTGATGAGTTTGATTGTCAAGTAATTCATCGCTGCATTGCAGAGTTTTATTAGACCAAAAAAAATCGTCCCGACTTGCAAAAAACTTTTGTTAGCTTTAAGAGAGAAAATTAATTTTCCTTGGGGTCTAAGGAGGCGAAGAAAGTTCTTGAAACAAATGAGGTATAAGTGGCAGAAATACCACAGCAAAAGGAGATATTTGATTGATAGGCCAAATATTATTTTTGCCTGATCTATTTATTAAAAATTTATCGGGCAAAAATAATATAATAGTTAAAAAAAATAAATAAATAATAAAAAGTACGTCAACTTAGACTAAACGATCGTCAAATGTTTTTCCTAGACGAAAAATGGATAGATAATAATTTAACGTATAAAAAATGCTGGCGCGATGACTAAATAAATGCAATATTGACGGATACGACCTCTTCGAATAGGTGGGTTTTATATCAAATATTAAATTAAATCTATTTTTATTACTTAAAAGTTATATCATTTGTTTTTTTTGCCATACACATTATTGCACATAGGTACTATCCTCAAACAATTATTATTTCATAATTATTAATGCAAAGCACGCGCGCGGATGTTAAAAATATTGCGTTATTATGGATAACGTAATATCGATTAAATCACAACTGTAGCTCATTACGTCAACATTCTTTAATGATTCCCCGGAGCTCGCGCGCGGACTGTAGGTTCTACTTGAACACGGCTATCAGCAGTTGGACGCATTTTACATTTTCTAAAATTTTCTTAGATATATTATGTGTTTCTATATGTTAATGGAGATAAATACGCAGTAATTTGCGTACAGATTTAAATATCGAACTGCGTTCCCCATTCCGCGCGAGATTTTACTTTAGATTGTAAGTTGTGTAGTATGTTAAAAAACCAAACAAAATTTTAATTTCTTACACCGAAAATAGATTTTTAATTCAAGTTAACTTCAGTGATATTTAAAAATATACAATTTGTAGTACGTTTGTTACCGTGTAGTGTCGGTATAAGAATATCCACTACCCCATATCAGCCCGTGGGTGTCGTAAGAGGAGACAGGGAAACTGAAAAGGGAGATTGACAGCAGTGTAGATGCCACGCTGCAGCTATATTATGGTTGTAGCACGAATGGGTCGACTCGACCGGGGCAGCGCCATGCTCTCACAAAATACCAGAGTAAAATAGCAGCTTAATAGGCCTTTTACACGGTCGGGACCAACCATCAACCGTTATGACCTTGGTCGAGTTGATGTAAAAGTGGACAGTGTAGACATCGGTTGTCTGACCAATATTTTGGTTGAGTCCGACGGCCTTGGTCGCGAGCGCATCCCTCACGACACGTTGGGTCCGTGGTTGACGCCGACCGTGTGGAACGCTGTCGGCCGACTAGAGAGCCTCAGTGCGCGCTTAACAGTCGTCGCAGGCGGATGTTTAACGGCACTATGGGTATGAACAGAAGCGAAGAACGTGAGATCCTGACCGAATTCTTGTCACTGTCTTGTGATTTACCATGTCTTAAAGTACCATGTCATGTTTGTTTAAAGTAATGCGCTCTTTCAGCCACAATTTTATCCATTTTTTTTTTCATCTTCATTCAAGCATAGAAACGTTAAAGCTAAACCGATTTTTTGTTGTATAGAAAAGCAAGGAGCCATTTTTAAAAGTAACTACCTTACGTCTTTACTCTTTAAATACCAGTGACAACGTTGTTGAGTTGTGTCAACCACCCGACCGTATAGAACGAATACAAAAATCGGTTGACCCGACCAAGGTCACGACGGTTGGTGGTTGGTCCCGACCGTGTAGAAGCGCTTTAATACTGCTGTGTTTCGTATGGTGAGTGTAGATATCCGAAGACCCCTTTTTACTGAAAACGAGGTATTCTATGTTCCTTCATCCACAATGGTGACTACGCATGTGCATTTTGATTCTTAATCGAGGATAAATGTAGATGTGTATGGGCCACAGCATCTACTTACCATCAGGTAGACTGTGTGCTCGTTTGTCACCCTTATTCTATAAAAAAAGGTGTCTTTCTAATAAAGTAAAAATAAAAAACTGCGGTTGGCTACCCGCTTGCCAAGCGTGGCAACTATGACTAAATTCTAAGTGGAAATCTTTAGGAGAGCCCTATGCACCTATAGATTTTTTTTATGGGATGAGGTGACAAACGAGCACACAGTCTACCTGATGGTAAGTGGTTGCTGTGGCACATAGACATCTACATGTATGTTCGCATGGGATTCAAAATGCAGATGCGATGTCATTCGTGAGGACTAAGATGGAATGCCTCGTTTCCAGTAAAAAGGGTCTCCGGTTCTCTACACTCACCATACGAAACACAGCAGCATTAAGCTACTATTTGACACTGGTATTCTGTGAGCGTGGTCCTTCCCCGGTCGAGCCGAACCATTCTTGCTACGACTATACTACTAATATAGCTGCAACATGGCTCTACAACGTAGAGAATCCTCATTGCGGGAGATTCCCTATGAGGCAATCTATGGAGGATGCCTATGTTTAGCAGTGGACTTTACTAGGCTGTAATGATAACGGTAATATGTTTGTTTATAGGTTCAGTCTGAAAAGCCTGACATCATGCTGGGAGTGATCTGCGGTTCCATTCTTATCGCGGACTCCATCATCACAACACACTTCCAGGAGTTCAAGAGTGCTCTTGAAAAGTAACTTGATTTTCAGTATATTGATTTTGTTTATTCAACATTGTTTAGAAGTCGCAGTCATTTCAATTTGTCTGACTTAAAATATTTTTAAGAGGTCAGCTAGGAACTTAGATAGAAGACGATTGGGTAGCTCATTTTGAAAATATTGGTAAATGTGTGTTACATAAATATTTATTTCGTCAATAATGTTCTCTAAAACGAGTTTCTGTTACGACGGCCAATCTTAGCAAAGAATAGCTATCTGCGCAGGACAGGTGTGTGTGTGAGCACAGGAGCACTCTATTCCTTCACTCTTACGTAGTTCCTTCCTCACTCGTAGTCAGATGGGATTTCATTAATATACATACGTATTTGACAAATTTTTTATTCATATATTTGCGATTCCGCCTACTTTGCACGCGTGTGCTATCTTTATACAACAAGTTTATTTTGTAAACATTTGTATAACCTAAATATTTTATGCACCAAAACTGATAAAAAATCTTCGTTGGAAACCATCTATACATATTATATAAGTATGGAAAAAATACGTGTGGCACTCGGTGACTGCGGCGGTAAAGCTATTGCATAGCATTTTTTATCAACTTATGCAATTATAATTATTTATTTATTTTATTTATGCAGTTAAGTCTTTGATATTAAATCAAGTTACAATTTTTGAGCGTGGTGACCGATAAGAAAACAATTTTTTTTCTCTTATTGAATAAATGAGAAGTTAATATTGTTTAAAATATTTTTAATATCTTACAATACATGTAGGTTATTCAGGAATTTTTATCATTGAGTTAGCAGCTAGTGTACACGCATACGTCTAGTCGCACGCACACAAACACCGTGCCGAAGTCTGCCGAACTGAAACGACGTTAGACGATGCACGGCTTTCAACGCCACACCTCCGTGCCCGTCGGAGTGGGGAGCGTGAGGTTTTTTTTCGTTACGGAATTTCTGGATTCGGTCCCCGCGCTCAAGGCCCGCGATAGAAGCTATGCAATAGCTTAATAAATTAATCTTATAAGTATATACATAAAATTGCTGTGTGTGTTGACGTAATTCTTCTCATCATAACCGATTTGACTGATTTTGATGATTTTTGTATGGGGTACTTATGGGGTCACCTACATGGTTCTTAGCTATAGTTGGACCCGGTATATGGCGTTGTTGTCGAGATCCAGAAATCACCTGTGGGAAGCCAAGGCCGGTCGCTATTGGTATGATGTAACTGTAATTATATTACATTGAATTGGGTACAGGAATTATCTGTCATAAAGTTGAAGCAACGAAAAGGCATCCAACTCAGCATAATGCCATAGCAGTGCTGTGCTAGTATTTTGATGTAGTTTAGTAAATTTTAACGACTTGCTAATGGTTACATTTGTTATCAAGGGGTCAAATCCAGCCGTCGGGTCAGCTGTCTAACTGCGTAGAAGTGGAGCTGATCCACAGCGGACACAAGTACAAAGTGCAGGCGACCAAGTCGGGACCTACTTCCTACTTCCTCGCCATGAACGGCAGCTTCAAGGAGCTGGAGGTGCACAAACTCACTGATGGCGGTTAGTATCTTTTCCATAACAATGACAAACGACCTAACCGTTTACCTGTTGGTGAATAGGTAATGCACATTATTCTAATTAACATTAAACTAGGAAAGTTACAGAGTTGTTGTTACCTATAAAGACTAAGAAGTTTTTGTAGCACGAATGGGTCGGCTTGACTGGGGAAGGACCACGTTCTCACAGAATACCAGCGTAAAATAGCAGTTCAACGCTGCTGTTTTTCGTATGGTCAGTGTAAAGAACTGAAAAACCTTTTTACTGGATATGAGGGATTCCATCTTAGTCCTCAGATACAGATTGTAGGTGTAAATGTCTATGGGCCATATCATCCACTTATCATCAGATGAGCTGTGTACTTGCTTGTAACCCTTATTCTATAAAAAGCCTAACAATTTGTAATACTTACCGTATTCTCTAGTTCGGCAGAAATAGAAAGAATATCTGGTCCCTACCCAGATGATGTCATAATTAGAAAAAAATTCCTTCAGCTTCTATATCAGCTTGTTATGAGGCAGAATTGTTATAATCGGCACACTTGGCAGATGTGTTGGTGAATGCCAGACGTCTTTCACATTCAATGCTGCTTCTAATACCACATGAACACTCACGCTTGTCACCCAGTGGGGTAGGCAGAAACTACGGACTTCCATTTGTCACGAGAGTGTCAGGCTCGTGACTTTAAATTATAGGGTACTGACCATTTTAAATATATCGCTAATTTGATCGCCAAACTTTCGTCTACGGCGTTCCTTGCCGACACTGCCGTTCACTTATGGCATTAACGGGAGCGTATAGCGCCATCTCTTGGATGCCGTGTTATTTTGCCGGCGTTACCCATAATAGCCTCTTAAGTCCATCACGTGACGAAATTGCCTTGTTACTAAGCATACATAAAGTAATATAACACTAATTATATTTATATAACACTTACTTACCAATAGAGTAGTCTGCAGGTGTCCATGGGCTGTAATTTATATAAGTGGTAGAGCCATGCTGCAGTTATATTAGTAGTATAGTTGTAGCGCGAATAGGTCGGCTCGACCGGGGAAGGACCACGCTCTCACAGAATACCAGCGTAAAATAGTAGCTTAATGCTGCTGTGTTTCGTGTGGTGAGTGTAAAGAATCGGAGACCCTTTTTACTGGAAACGAGCCATTCCATCTTAGTCCTCACGGGTGAAAACGCATCTGCATTTTGATTTGTAATCGAGGATAGATGTAGATGTCTATAAGCCGCCGCAAACACTTACCATCAGGTGGACTGTGTGCTAGTTTGATATCCTATCCTATAAAAAAATTGTGCCATTGTCCATCCAGGTGGATTGTAAGATCATCTCATTCTAATATTAGAAAAAACGATGGGTTTATTATGCATTCTGCCCCTACCACTACTTTTACTAGGTGGTAGAACTCCTTGTATGTCTTGGAGTCCGTCTGGGTACGTTCCCCTCTTACTCTACCTGAAGGGTACAGAGCCGGTATAGTTACAGGCTGGGAGGCATTTTGTCTTTGTCTTCAGAGGTGACAATGCAAGCAGGTGTCCATGGACTTCAGTAACCACGTACCATCAGCGGACCGTGGACCGAGTCACTTTAGTTATATAAAATACACTAAAAAAGTAGGATAATTACTTTTTTTAATCTAAATTTTGTCCCACAGGCACTCTCCTCTCGGTGGATGGCGCTTCGTACACCACGTACCTGAAGGATGAAGTCGACAAGTACCGTATCGTGATCGGAAATCAAACTGTAGTCTTTGAAAAGGAAAAAGATCCATCGAAGTTGCGAGCGCCATCTGCCGGAAAGTTGATCAACACGTTGGTGGAAGATGGCGGTCACGTGGATAAGGGACAGCCGTATGCTGAGATTGAGGTTAGTGTATCTTTAGTAACCGGGGTAGAGACACGCTGCAGCTATATTATGGCTGCTTCACCACCGGATGAAGACCTTGACCGTGAAAAGTCCATGCTCTCGTAGAATACCAGTGTGAACTAAAATGCGGCTGTGTTCTGTATGATGAGTGTAGAGAACCGTAGACACTTTTTACTGGTAACGAGGCATTCCATTTGAGTCTGTGGTGACAACGCACCTGCATTTTGATTCTCGATGATAGATGTAAATGTTTATGGGTCATAATATCCACTTACCATCAGGTGGACTGTGTGCTCGTTTGTCACCCTGATTCTATATAGCAATTAATAGATTCAGAAGACAATGTTAGAGCTACAAAAAAGCAAGTAGGGGGTATAAATAAATAAAAAAATAACTCCAGCACTATAGACATCAGTAGAAATGTCTAATGGCTTCCGATAGATAACGGTTTAACAGCAAAACATTTATTACGACCTATCCAAGTCCACTACTGAACGTAAGTCTCCCTCGTAGATTGCTCGTAGATTGTATATTTTTATTTATTAGTTTTTATTATTTTATTAATGGGTGCGTTTATAAGCAAAATAGCGATCGTAAGCGGTAAGCGCTGTCAAATCGTAAGTAGCTATTTTACTCCAGGACACGATGTTAGTTTTAACCGGGTCGAACCTAACCTAATTTAAATATATGTTTGTAAAGTATTCATATTTAAAGACTTACCAATCAGCGTGAATTTTTAATAACATGTATATGTTTATCATGTCATTATATTACTTAAAACTAATATTGCGCAGAACACTTGTGAAGTCTACTTCAAAACGAACAAAATAAATAAGCAAAATGGCGGATTGTGTCAGCGCTACTGAAGTAGCAATCGTGTCCTGGCCGAAAACTATTTCATCGCTTGTAAGCGCTTGCTAGCGCTTTTTTCTGCCAAACGCACCCATTATTTTATTAGTTTTGAGTTGTATTGGGAGTTGATCAAGCAAGTAGATGAGTTTGTATATTTGGGATGCATATTTAGCTAGGATGGGAGATATGATAAAGTTATAGAACGAGGAGTGAATGTTAGGAATAGAGTAAAAGGGGGCCTACACTCTATTGCGCAAGGTCAAAATTTATCAAAAAAGTGGTATTCCCTACTTTAACGTATGGTAGTGAAAGTTGGGTGAGGCAGAGTAAGGACGAGAGTAGAGTAAACGCATAGATATGCTGTCGTTAAGGAGTATGTTAGGTCTGAATCTGAGTGACAGGGTGAGAAATTGTGAGATAAGAGAAGAGTGTGGTTTGCAAGATGATGTTGTGACCAGGATCAAGAAAAAAATGCTTCGGTAGTTTGGTCACGTGAGATGAATGAATACACAAAGCAAATTTATGTTGCAGAAGTGAACAGTAAAGTCGGAAGGGGACGTACTAGGCGAAAGTTTATCGAATAAATTGGCGATATATTGAAAATGGGTCAAATTAGAGGTACCCTTAACAGACGAGCATGTATGCGTAGGTATATGGATGTGGAGGAGGCGAGAGAGGTGTGTCAGGATCGTGCCAAATGGAAGTCTGTAGTGTCTGCCTACCCCTCTGGGTGACAGCCGTGAGTGTTTATGTACGTATGTTATTGTTATCAGGAAAACGGTGCTGCCAATCTTTTGTTTAGTTTCGTTCTGTCGCCTTTTACCTACGGGATGATATGGGGCTGTCGTAAGAGGCGGCCGAGGGTTATGTAACAGGAGGTGAGCAACCACATTTACATACGACTTAAAATAAAAGACTGCGGTTGCCATTTTGACTATGAACAGCTATGGCAAATATTTCCCTAATGAAGCAATCTGCGAGGAGGCCTATGTTCAGTTGTGGACTTTTGATGGGCTATAACGGAAGAAGGAAACATATTTACTAAACTAAATGTTAATATTTATGAGTTACATTTAGTGTGTTATAGTTAGATATAATGATTAAATTTTGTACGCAGGTGATGAAAATGGTGATGACGCTGCTCGCGCCGGAGGCCGGCAAGGTGACGTGGAACCTGCGGCCCGGCGCTGTGCTGGACATGGGCGCGCTTATTGGCACCCTCGGTACATCACTTTTACACTTCTACAATTTAACTCCTCTACACTTATCGCTTCTACACCTCTACACTTCTACTCCTCTACACCCATCACTTCTACACCTGTACACCTCTAAACCTATACATCTATACACTTTTGTATCTCTACTCCTCTACTCCTCTACACCTTACCACCTTTAAACTTTTACACATCTACACCTATACACTTAAAGACCTCTACACTTCTACTCCTCTATACACTAATCACTTTTACACTTTTACACTTCTTACTTATCCTTCTAAACTTCTTCTATAACTGTACACTTCTACAGATCTAAAGCTGCACCCGCTTGAACTAGACTAGACTGACTAGAACTGAACTAGACTTTACAGCCTGTGCGTCGTATCATGGTGAGGGGCTTACGATTTAACGTGTCTAGAGATGGAATAATGTTAAATTGATTTAAAAAAGGCGATTAACGTTACACAAAGCAAAAAAAGTTATCGATTAGCTATAGAGGAAAAAAATTGAACCTGAACTAAATTTTTTTTAAAAATACAAGCATATAAATTTTAGTGACAGTTTAATACAAATTACAGTTACATATTATACTGTGTATTAATTGGGAAAGAGAATTCGTTTGTATTTGATATTAAAATATGCATAATGGCTATCGCTGTATATGTGTATAATCATGTTAGCGCCTAGCGTTTTGTTTGAAGTACCTATCAACCTTTTTTTAATTTTCAGTAGCTTTTATATTGCCATTACTTGCGATTATTGGGTTAATTGTTGTGTTTTGTTGGGTTTATTTTGTTATTCGTTCAGTTAGTTAATTTAAAATGCCGAAACAAATAAAAAAAATTGTAATCGAACGAGGGATAAGTCATTTATTTCTGAGATTACCTTAAACGAGAACATCAAAATGGCGGAATAAATATAAAATTATTTATATCTATTATTAACAACGATTGCTTTTTTTATAAATTTTAACACTTTATATTTATTTGTTTATTGTAGTACATAAATCGCAAGTTAATTAAATGTAGTATACATGAAAATGTCGGTAATGCAACTTTCTAAAATAGAAATATTTTTTTTTTGTCAAACTCAAGCTACGATTGTATTCACTTGATAGTTTTAACGTCCGATGAGGCACATCTCTAGTAATTACAAATAAATGACTGTAGTATGTAACTGCGCACACTATTGAAATAAATTAAACTTTTACTTAATAATTTTATGAGTAAAAAAATGGTTGTCTGTAAAGTCGGTTTACGGACGATGGTTTAACGTGACAACGTCATAACAAAACATTGATGTAATGATTGCATACTTTTATGTATAAAATTGAATTATTTTTATTGAATTATCACTATTTTGTATGGGTCCAAAGAAGGAGTGAAACGAAATCTACATTAGATTGAGCGTTATTGGCCGCGATAGAAAAACCGGTTCATTAAATGGGCCATAAATCGTAAACGGTAAATTTTACAAAAAAGTTTGCTGGAAACAAAAGATGCGAAATTTTATTTTCTACAATAATTGTTTGTATAACTTTTGCCTTAAAGTGCATTGTTTCCGAGGTATCGGCTGAAAACGTATTATCAAGATGGCGCTTGAAGCGCCACCAGTTCATTAAATGGGCCATAAATCGTAAACGGTAAGTTTTACAAAAAAATTCCTGGAAACAAAAGATGCTAAATTTTATTTTCTACAATAATGGTTTGTATAACTTTTGCCTTACAGTGCATAGTTAGCGAGATATCGGCTGAAAACATTTTTTCAAGATTGCGCTTGAAGCGCCACCTGGATCTGTCGGCATTTTGTGATTTTATTCCGAATAAGTGATCCTAAACCTCATAAAAAATAAAATTGAATCGGAAATTTCGTGCAATGTTAAATTCTATTTTTACTGTACTATTTCATTAAACATTTTGTCAACAACGTCTTACAATCATTTCTCTAGCGCTCACGTGACCTTCATACAAATAATTCAATATTTTAATTGTTGATATTTTTTATTTTTGGATAAGAACATGGTAATGACTCTAAGTTATATTTACCTTCATTTAAAAAAATTGTCTTTGGCGAAACCTAGTATACTCTTTGGCTTGACCATAGGTCAGACTAATAGGTCCATAGACTGACGGATATCACGAGTGGTTAATGTCTATCTAATAGTTATAAAGGAATAGAAAAATTAATAAAAAGAATTATAGTGCTATTTTATCATACTTAATAATTTTTTCGTATGTTGCAAACGCACGCAAGTTACGTTCTAGTGACCTGTTATCCACACCATGCTACAACGTAAACACAATAGTTACAATTGTTCCGCTTAAGCGACAAGCATATATTTAAGGATTCGTTGAAAATTAAAAAACGTTATGTACATGATGTCATTATAAGCGTATTATCTAGTCCTTGATAAAATTTAATATTGAATACATGAGTATTTTATATACTTCAATTTCTGTAAGGAATTCACTTCGTTTGAATAAATATTCAAGATAAATGCCAAATCGCGAATTGAAAAAAAAAATGAGTTGTTTGTTGTTTTATAAGTTTTTCGTAATATCTATAAATTATCGGTTACTCTTATCGGTATTTCTTTTACTAAAAATTTTTACTAACTTAACGAATCTTTGCAGAGTTGGACGACCCGTCTCTCGTGACGACCGCACAATTATATAAAGGCCAGTTCCCGCTGGAAGACAACCCTCAACTCTCTGAAAAGCTAAATCACGCCCATAACAAATACAGAGCGATATTGGAAAATACGTTGTCTGGTGAGTGCTTTAATATATAAAGTTGAGGGGATTAGTCTCGTACCTACTGCATATTTTTATATTAGCATCACCCAAAGGTTGACCGGTAGAGAATGCCTCAGGGATTAAATCCAGATAAAATCATGTTGCATGAATTTTAATAAATAAAGTAAGTAAATATCGGAATTTATTTCGACAACTGGTTAACTTCCCAGTGGGATCTTATTGTAATGGGTCCGATTTTGCAAATTAGAAATTTTAACATAGTGTAATAACGTGCAGAACATTTCAAGGTCTTTAGAGTCGATTAGTAGTGGTTTTTAAGAGGATGTCCGTGTGAGCACATGTATGTATGTATGTATGTTCGGATTCAATTTTGCGCCTCGTATATCTCGAGAACAAAGAGCGATATTGACATGAGACCAGTTTCATTTAACGCATAATTGTGTAACTTAGACCTCATTAAATTTTGAGCAAAATCAGTCAAGTCGTTTTTTGTACCAAATGAAAAATTGTATAAAATATTAAAACATATGATATTTTTTTTTATTTTTTTCCATTGGGAAGTTTGTCGTGTGGACCTTTCGGGTCGCACCTAGACCGCTTTTTTATATAAAATTTGGGTCGTTGCTAATTTTAAGGAAAACACGGTCAATATTAACAATATCTCCTCTCCGTGTTTACTGGAACTGCAACTCTAGCGATATTAGAGTCCGTGCTAATAATATTAAAAAATATGAAGATTTATGGAGATGTTTGGATGCGCGTGCAATCATGTAAAACGGATATGGGGGAAATTTCGCATACATATATACCATTACTTAATTTATTACATTCTCTTATTAATCCCCTTTACCACCCCCTAAGACGCCCCCCCACGCCCAACAGGCCGCCCACCCACCCCAGGCACTCATGTGGGGGCGCCCTCCCCGGCCCCGGGCGGGGCCCCCCACCAACTTTTCCCTGTTTTGTTTCTACTAGCCGCCCGTCCCTTACTTCTACTGTTGGTGGGTCTGTCTTTTTTTTTGTTTTTCTTTTTTTGGATTCGCGCCGAGAGAACCGCGCACACCCTCCAACCTGCTTGCGACCTCCCCCCGGCCGGCAGTGAAGACCACGTCCGCCGTAAGTCACTGGCACACGCATGGTTGTACAATCTGTTATACATTACTCTATCAAATTAAAGTCTACTGTAGAACACACAATAACTCTTTGGCAGTCGGTTAGTAACCGCAGTTATTTAAGTATTAGTTGGGTCGGCTTTCAAGTTGGGTGACGTTCATAAAGTTCGTTTAAGATGGTTCTAGGATTACGTCAAGAATCGTCAGAGAAGTATTAATGGTTGTTGTTAAAGAAGTTTTTAAGACTTTTCATAAATGGAGCATCTCGAGCGGGTTTAATTTTACAATTTGCTTGACTTCTACTATTATAGAAACATTCGTGTTCTAAATACTCCTGTACAAATTTATACATGATATCTTTCGTCCATTTTATTATTAAAACCCAATATAAAACGTATACATATTCAATAAACAGTATCGTACAAATTTTGTGGCGAGTTTAATTATAAAAGTACAATTGTACGTTTTGGCGCGCAAACATTGCGTCCTGTCAACTTATACACTGAACTAAACTCGCTCGTTTACACGAACGGCGAGTTTAGTTGCGGGTGGCTGGAGACGCGCGGGAGTGCAGCACTTCGCACTTAACTCGCCGAAAAATAGCTCGGCCGGCTATCCCGTTCAACTTTATCGATAACTTGCTACTTAACTCGCTTATTGCCGTTCAAACGAGGTTCAAACTTAACTCGTCAGGTTCGCAAGTTAACTCGCTACTGTACTTGTCGAAGAATAAATTGGTCTTTATACATAGGTATTATCTGTGGTGACTATCGCCGCCCATGAACAACCGCAACACCAAGGGAATTGCAGGTGCGTCGTTAAGTCGTTATCGGGAAAAAATTGCTGCACCTTCTCCCGTTTTATTTCTCTATATAGCCCCTTACGTTATTTACGGGATGATATGGGATAGTGGAATGTCTTTTGCCGTCACTAAAGTTCTGGCTTAACACTTAAGCTACGTTTAACCGCAGGGAAATAAATATAAAGGATTTACACTTTCACGCGAACGTAGCCGCAGGCATAAACTAGAATGAAAATATACCTGAAAATAATGAATATTGTATTATTGTAGGTTACTGTCTACCGGAGCCGTACAATACACCACGTCTGCGCGAGGTCGTTGAGAAGTTCATGCAAAGCTTGCGAGATCCCTCACTGCCATTACTGGAGTTGCAAGAGGTATTTCATATCAATTATAAGAATTGCTTTTTAAAGTATAATACGAGGTTCGAAGATTATTTCTTAACCCATTTTGAAATTTTCATAAGATGTAGATGTGCATAAATATTAAATATGTTAATTAGCTAATTAATATGTTTAACATTGTAACATTTTTCACGCGTATTGGACAATTATTTTTTCTTCTTTATAATAGAAATACAAAAAAGAAATATAATACAGAATGTAAAAAGGTGTAATATGTGGTTTTATCAAACAATGCGAGTTTTTTTTAGATAACCTTTGGGATAAGCTTATAAAAGGACCGAAAATTAATAATATTATGCATGTCCTCACAGTAACACCTGATTCTGTTGATTTTACAAAATGTCCCTTATTATATATATATATATATATATATATATATATATATATATATATATATATATATATATATATACTTTATACTATATGTCAGTATAAAAAAGTGTAATTTAAGTCCAAAACACTTTACTGGTACTTATAAAGGCAATGAGGCCTAATAATATTACGATCAGCAGATGTCGCCAGTTGGAACTAAGGTGAACTTATTTGTTTTGAAGATGTTAATACAATGTCGTTATCATTGAAAAGTTGCGATTCAATTATATTTTTTTATTAATAGGGTATGTATATATTCAAAACATTGCCGTAGTGCTGTATTTTTAAATTTTTCATGTCTTTAAATTTTCTAAATTGTTATAGAAATATCCGTAGTTTGATTTAGCTATTTTTTACGCCAGCCAAGCTGCAGCTATATTATAGTTGTACCATGAATGGGTCCACTCGACCGGGGCAGGATCACGCTCTCACATAATACCAGCGTAAAATGGCACCGTGATGCTGCTGTCTTTCGTATGGCGAGTCTAGAGAACCAGAGAGCCGTTGTATTGGAATCGAGGCATTCCATCTTTGTCTTCAGGGGGTTTTCATTTGCATTTTGATTCTTAATTGAGGATAAATGTGGATATCTATGGGCCACAGCATCCGCTTACCATCAGGTGCACTGTGTGCTCGTGTGTCGCAAAGCTATAAAAAATAATCAAATTTATTTAAAATATAGTTTTTTTTTTAAATTTCGTAAAGAAACAATCTTTACACTTTTCTAACAAGTTAACTTCCTCCGCAATAAAATCTGTCAAATATTCCATCTCATTCTTAAATGTCGTCGCCCTGGTGTCAGAAAAATCTTGGATGACTCTTTTATTTAAATTGGTGAAAGCCTTCAACGAATTCGAAATATAAATTAGAAAACCAGTGAGCGCAATAAAGGCTGGTCCACTAGTGTGGAGCGCTGGACTGTGTCGGGTGTGTGGTGTTTGTGTGAGGTCGCTGTAGAAGGCGGTGACGTGCAGGTGCTGTCGTCGACGTCGGGGCGCATCCCGGTGGGCGTGGAGAAGAAGGTGCGCAAGCTGATGGCGCTGTACGAGCGCAACATCACCAGCGTGCTGGCGCAGTTCCCCAGCCAGCAAATCGCCAGCGTCATCGACCAGTAACTCACCTTACACTACTTCTAACGTTACAAATACACTTCCAAATAAGTTACAATAAATGTATAAATAACAATAACTTCTAGAAATGATGTTAAATCTATCAAGTAGATTTTTATGTAAAAATAAAACACAAAAAGAGAGCCTATCTACTGCTGAATATTTTAGATACTAATGAGGTATAAAAACTCTAAAGGCCGCTCTACATTTTCGCGTGAATCGCGAGCGAAGCCGCAAACCATCCGCGAAGCATGAGTGTAGAACCGTTTCGCGTTTTCGTCGTGGTTTCGCACATGTTCCCCGTGGCGTTCCCCAATTTTTGTCGGTTTCTTGATCCGCGACGAAAGGCGCGGCTCAACCGCTTACTAACGAGTGTCGTGAGCGGTTGTGTGTTTAATCTTTGCTAAAAGCTACATTTTAGCTGAAGTATTAATGAATTTAACACTATCCTTACATTAGTAATACATTTTCGGAATGTTTTCCTTACTTTTTTATAGGGAAAATGATAAGCGTTATTTATTTAAATAGATATGTGTACATCAAAGTCGTTGTAGCTCAGAAGCTAAACACTCCGTATAAATTTCATAGTAAGCGAACAACGCGGGTTCGAACCCCTCCGGTACCAATGAGATTGTTAATTTCAATTTTAAGTGCTGATTTTCAACGTGCTCGGCGGTGAAAGAAATATCATGAAGAAACCTGCAGTTTTGAAAAATAAGAAAAAGAAATAATTCGAAGACATGTGACGTTCATCTACACACATTGGGGAAGCGCGGTGGACATTTCCTTGCCCTAAAACTTTCTCAGAAATAAGAGGAGGCCTGTGTCCAGCAGTGGGACGTATAATACGTACGTACGTACGTACGTATGAGACGTATAAGTGCTGTAACTTTAATTTTATATGTACATATCTTGTTCTGTTTCGGTTGATGGTTAAAATCCAATATCTCCGTTTTCTCCACTTCTTTTTATTAAAACGTAATTATTAATCGCTGAAGCGCAAAGTAGCCCAGCATCCGAAGTAGTGAGTTCGACGTCCATCTTTGTCAAGCGCGCGAACTAAGCTGTGAACGTAACGCTAACCTGTGCCTGAGTGGAGCCAAGAACAGTCCTTGCCGCGTTTCAAGGTGTTTCGCGATGCGCGTGGGAATGTGAAGGAGAGGCTATAACATAATGTTACATTTTCCAGTCACGCGGGATCGTTGGCGAAGCGCGCAGATCGTGACGTGTTTTTCATGAGCACGCAGGCGCTGGTTGTGTTGGTGCAACGTTATAGGTAAATGTACTGGCTTTCACAATCGTGCTCTCTTAAAGATTAAAATAAATTATCATATATTTTTGTCAAAAATAAATTGTTATATTTGTAATTTTAAATGTTATATCGTTTGAAGCATCTCTGTTTTTCGTAGAATAAATTATGCGATATATAAAATGACACAGTTTTTACCTATAGTTTTACTATCAATTTTTAATTGTACAAGGTACATTTAAGGCAAAAAATAAAACAATATACAAAAACCCCTATAAAAACTTATTTTCCCTGTGGTAGGAATGGCATACGAGGAAGAATGAAGGCTGCAGTCCATGATCTCCTTAAACAATACTACCAGGTCGAGAGCCATTTCCAACTCGGTGAGTATTATTATCAGGCCTGAGCCCTTTGTGGGCATTATTATAGTATTTGGAAGAACTAAAAAAATACCGCGTGGTGGCGGGGACCGTGTAGACAGTAAGATAACGGTAAATCATTACCGATACTGTTATAGCCTATAAAAATTTATTGCTGAACATAGGCGTCCCCCATTGATTGCCTCATAGGGGAGATTTGGCCATAGTTGCTTTGTATGCGTGCGTGGAAGCGTGGCCTAAAATAAGTAATGGATGGACGGATGGATGTATGGCCACGATTGGTTGGGTTGGCAACCGCACTTTTAATTATAATATATTAAATGTATAATTATAGTTATTGGGAAAATGCTGCTGCATCTGCCTACTGATTTGTTTCTCTCTGACTGTAAGCGGCGACGAGACGGGGTAAAAAATTTGTAATTAACTGAATTTATTTGCTTTTGTTATATACAAAAATTCAGCACATTTCTCCATACAGTTAGTAAAGTTATAGTTTACATCCCACGTTCCATTTTTAAGCATAGGCCTTTTCGCAATTTTGTGAGGGACTATTGTGTGTTGCTTGACATATCTTTGAAATATTATTTGGTGCCTGCCGAGATTGAATCATGGTTGCGCGCATACTGTGAAATTGACAGCGAACACTTCGCCACTGAGCTAGCATAGCTCTCTTATCTCCATATCCGTGTATTTTTATCCGTGTGTTTTCTCACGTGGTAGATCACGCTGCAGCTATATTATGGTTGTAGCACGAATGGGTGCACTCGACTGGGGAATGACCACGCTCTCACAAAATACCAATGTAGAAATCCGGAGACCCTTTTTTACTGGAAACGAGGCATTCCATCTTAGACTGACAACGCATCTTCGGTTTGATTCTTAATCGAAGATAAATGTAGATGTCTATGGGCCACAGTATCACTTAATAGGTGGAATGTGTGCTCGTGTCACCTTTTAAAAAAATTGCTGCACTACACTACCAAATTGTGATTTGTGAGACTAATCATTGCCATTCTTCAGGTGCGTATGATAAATGCGTGATGGCGTTACGAGAACGCTACAAGGATGACATGCAGGCTGTTGCAAACATTTTATTCTCTCACAACCAAGTGGCTAAGAAGAATTTGCTGGTGCGTATGTTTTTACATCTAGTACAATAAGTACTGGCGATAACAGAATGCGATTGAAAATGGCGTCATCTCTATTCACTTCTTGCTCGCGCACTGTCGCTATCTATCTTTACTCACACCCGCTGGTAAAGACAGCGAAAAAAGTACACGCTGCGGTATGCGTTTTATTTTTGTATGAAATATTTTCATAGAATAATAACGTACCGAGTGTAACTAAACTTCACGAATAAATAGAGAATAATACCAGTAATCTTGACAACATTTTTACGGAAAATTTAAAATAGAAATTATTGATAAGATAAAATAAACGATGTTTAATTATTACCTTAAGTCTAAATAACGCCACATTATATTTATCCCAAGCGAAGCCAGAGCACGTTGCTAGTTATAAATTTTATTTTAAAATTAATGTTTACTTGCGTATACTATTCTTTTCAAATATTTCCCATTAATAGAAAATTTCGGATTGACCGTATAATTTTAGCGAGTTTTCGTTATTAGTACTGTGCATGTTGACGGTACTTGCTTGATGAGCAGCCATTTCTAATTGCATTCTTTATCCGTACAGACTGTAAAGGGCGCGATCCCGGATTTGACATTGAGCCCTTGACTTTGCCTGCCATTTACCTAAAATCCTTATAATGAATACGGCACTAAGTCTCAGATAATAGTTTACAACTTTCCGAATATGCTTGTACCATTTTTTTCATTACTATTAGATTTAATCTTATATGTTTAACACCAAAATCAAATTTCTAAGTAAACTTGAAGATTACAAAATTACTAAAGTTGTTAATAGTTTGCTACCACTGTCATTATAGTTTAGTCTTATATGATTCTCACAAGTGATTTTTCAAAAGTGATTTGAAACCAGATATGAACGCTTAGTTAAAAATTAAAACAAGTTTTCATGTGGCCTGTTGTGAACAGCCTAGTATTGTGTGTTATTTAAAACACATTACCTGAATAAAATGGATTTTGTGTTATGTAGGTGACGCTGCTCATCGACCACTTGTGGTCTAACGAGCCGGGTTTAACAGACGAGTTGGCGGCCACACTTAATGAGTTAACGTCCTTGCATCGCGCCGAACACAGCCGCGTGGCGCTACGAGCGAGACAGGTGAGCACTTATAGATGCGTGCATGCACACCCAACACTCATTGCCCCACATACACGTGCATACACACCAACACTTGTTGTCCTACGTACATGGGCTTTCATACCAACACTCATTGCCCCACATACACGTGCATGCACACTAACACTCATTGTCCTACGTACACGTGCTTGCACACCAACACTCATTGTGCTACATACAAGTGCTTTCACACCAACACTCATTGTGCTACATACACGTGCTTTCACACCAACACTCATTGCCCCACATACACGTGCATGCACACTAACGCTCATTGTCCTACGTACACGTGCTTGCACACCAACACTCATTATCCTACATACACGTGTTTCCACACCAACACTCATTGCCCTACATACACATGTTTCCACACCAACACTCATTGTGCTACATACACGTGCTTTCACACCAACACTCATTGCCCCACATACCCGTGCATGCACACTAACACTCATTGTCCTACGTACACGTGCTTGCACACCAACACTCATTGCACCACATACACGTGCTTACACACCAACACTTATTGTGCTACGTACACGGGCTTGCATACCAATACTCATTGCCTCACATACACGTGCATGCACACCAACACTCATTGTCCTACGTACACGTGCTTGCACACCAACACTCATTATCCTACATACACGTGTTTCCACACCAACACTCATTGCCCTACATACACATGTTTCCACACCAACCCTCGTTGTTCTACATACACGTGCTTTCTCACCAACCCTCTATTGACTACTACAGACACGTGTATTCATACTACATTCAATGTCTTAACATTATTGAGCATTTGATCATTTATTTTATTAAAGCAAAATAGTAAAATACAATAGAAATGTATTTTCACAGTGTTGCAATATAAATTTGTTTATATTTGTTAAAATAATGAGTTTCTTACCATTTCAATAAACATCTCAGTTAATCGAAATATTTTTATATGCTAATAGTTGAATTTAATTATAGTTTTAAAAGTTTTATTTCTATGTTGCAATTATTGATGCAATCTTCTGCTGCAGGTGCTGATAGCTGCCCATCAGCCGGCTTACGAGCTTCGTCACAACCAGATGGAATCTATATTCCTGTCCGCTGTGGACATGTACGGTCACGATTTCCACCCAGAGAACCTGCAGAAGCTGATTCTGTCGGAGACCTCCATATTCGATATCCTGCACGACTTCTTCTATCACACCAACGCTGCTGTGAGTAGATCGATTCTTTACTTGGGGGTAATGCTTGTTAATTGTGAATGTATGTTTGTCTGGATGTTTTCCCTCCAATTACGCGTGAAAGACTGCGGCTTCTAATCAAGTTTGTTATAGAAGTCGATTGTTTTGTGCAGCAGGAAATAAGAATCATTTTATAACATTTTAAGTTAAATTACAAATAGTTAAATTTCAATGAAAGAAAAGAATAGGACTAAGAAATATTTAATGATGTTAATGAAACTGAAGCTTAATAAAAATATTTTTAATTGCAAGAAATCAATATCTATTATCGTTTTTTAATATGCCATTATTTTCAGAAAGCAGTCATTATTGAGTCCAAGAAATAAAAATGTTGTGCTTTTTATTACTAAAGGAGCGATTGCGTTATTTGGATATGGTCAAAGTTACCTACTACCCTATCTCTGAAGTGTAGCTTTCCATTCAGTCCTATTATTCATATTTCGGTAAAACGCATTCGTATGTATTGCTTGCCGATTTTTAATAGATATAAGGTGAAATATTAAAAAAAAATATATGGAATTTAATGATTGTAAGTAGCGCGCCTTTACTAAGTCGACAGTAAAGCCCAACCTCTCTCGCTTTGCGTTCGAGATGTGCAATTACGTACGCAAAAGTGTATACATGGAGTAAGAAGTTCGCAGTATCTGAAACAAGGTAAACATAAGGAGGTTATTAGTTATCTATAAGTTTATTAGATATATTAAATCTTCTTAAGAAAGAAGGTGGATATAGGATCTCAGTGACGCCACTAGATAGGACGATCGTGTTTGAACTCATTTGAAAGGGCATATAAAGACCTAGGTGACTATTACGATCTCACCTTTCTGATGGTGCAATACGGAGGAAAGAAGGAATAAGGTTCATTTTGCTACAAAGTGATCGTTTTTATTAGGAAAACACAATAATTATATTCGTACGTTGTTTGATTTGTCTTATGTATGTATTAATTCACTGTAATAGAAATAAGAATAGAATTTCTATTAGCCACAATATTTACTTATTACCAGATGGACTGTGTGCTTGTTTGTTGTTGTTGATTGTTGACCCCTATTCGATAAAAAAATTATATGTATTTTGGCGGCGCTGTCGTCACACCACAAGCGAAATGCATCGAAGTCTAAATCGCGCTATCAACGTTCTGAAGTTAACGCGCAATGTATAGAACAGCTCCGAAATAACACATGGAGCATTGGCCCCATTTTATAACAATCCCCGGACTAAACATTTCGCCCGGCGGGAGATCTCCCGTTTTCCTTTTACGACCAAAGTATGTTATTCCTAATCGCAAAAGAATCGAAAAAATTAAGGGTATCAATTTTAAACTAGTGGTTGACTACTATCCTGCATGATGGGAAGCAAAGACGTTTATGTATATTACTAAACGGTCTCTGCGGCCTTAATACATTGCGCAGTAAGTTACGGTCAATTATCCGCAAATCTTTTAGTCGATTGCTAGCGGGCAAATGACTAGTACTTTGTTTTTTAAACTGCGAACGTTGTTTTCGAAATTTTAACACTAATTTTGTTAAATGTGACTAAGCAAACGCTATTAAAAAACTAGAAGTGGTGATTTATGTCCGCACTTTTCAACTTGGTTTTAGCTATAAATTAAATTGAAAATTTCAAAAATTCCCGAAACAAAAACAGTTGGTGATTTTCAAACGGCTCAACCGTTTTCGATAAAACACGTCTAAGAACCACCGCTAGAAAACCTGCTTTTAAATAAAATAAAAACTGCACCCAAATTGGCTCACCCGCTTAGGAGCTACGGTGCCACAGACAGACACACAGCGCTTAAACTTATAACAAACCTCTTTTTCGTCGGTGATTAAAGGCTATCGTAAGTGAAAATAGAATTAATTGGCATATTTACTTACTGTGCGGGGTACCCTTTTGTGACTTTCCCCGCGCGATCCACAGCTTTGACACAGTTTTTATTCTGAAATGCTGGTCTAGCAGTATAATAATAATAATAATCGTTTATTTCCAATCACAATGGTAAATAATATAGTAAGTATACATAGAAGTCTGATGACAAGTGGTAATGCTGGCGAAGATGGTATAGCTCAGTGAACAAAGGCCTACTCACTCTTGCCTTGATGACATCCACATTGTAATCGGATAGAAAGAGAGAAATTTGAAAAGATCTTCGGCGGATTTCGTAAAAATGGAAAATCTATGCAAATCTTACGGAGATAAAGAGTTCCATATCGAAGATGATTATGTTCAATGCGACGATGTGGATGGGCTGCTGCGCGCGCGCGACCGTCAGCTGCAGCGCCGTGTTCACGCGCCGCAGCTGCACGCGCTCCCAGCCGCAGCAGTACAGCAGCGTCGCCGACTGCGCGCCCTGCGCCCACGCTTGCATTCTAAACTCCCTCAATATGTACTCCACCCATGACTACCACATACCATCATACTTACAACAGAGCATATGAATCAGATTAAAACGGTTGATTTAAAAAAATTTTCGTACCGTAGCAATCTTAGTACGTATCGCGAATAATTAGGAGTAACCTCGCACGAACTATTTGATATTTAAAATAAATCAAAACTTCAGGAATACATTTCGTTTTAGCATATAACAATCAGTGCAAGGTTAATTGCGAGACAATGAAATAAGAAATTGAGCAAAGTAAGAAATGAAAAATATAATTGTGACGCAGACTTTTAACATACTGTTACGAGCTAAGGGTTCGCGACAATAAACACTGCCGATTGAATTACCAAAATTGACACTTTAATTACCGAACACCAATTAAAATTTCAAACACACTAATAATTAATCACACTTATCACTTTATTTCACAGTTATATCGCTTCGTCTTGAATCACCAATTCAATACTGACTCGGGTCGCGGTCAATACCAGTCTTATATAGGAGCTTTTCTAATGAAACATCTAGAATGTTCGAGTAGAACGTCGAAAGTTCTGGCATCAAATTTTCTACAAAGCTCCCCTAGTTCTGCTACTCCATACTAGAGGGCGCTAGTGAATTTTCAAGAAATATCTTGACGCTCCTATTTCTGCTACTTGATACTAGATAGCGCTAATAATAACCCGCCATGTACCAGGCATTAATTATGACGCGCAACAATGCCATTCTAGATAACTCTCCTTGGAAGTACTTTCAATTTTACTACGGAATTCCAAAGAGGCAGAGTCTAGGGTAGAGTACCTATGGTTCGAATCGCGGGTCACACCGAAATCAGTTATTGGATATTTTCTGTCACAGTGGAAAGCACATAAAGCCGTTACTTCTGCGCCAGATAACTCCGGTCGTATCTTATTGCCGACCCGTCGAACTATGAGAGGAAGTAGAGTATACCTGTGCCTGCGCTATCCTGCGCAAATTGCTAGTGTTCGTTGAGATTGGCAGCCGTTACCAAAAATTCAATTTTCAACATAATTAATAATTCTAATGTGATTACAAACGGTGTCGCCTCTATTCACCACTCGCCCACTCACACTCGACGGTAAAGAGCAATAAAACGTTAATCACGCGTTGCGCTGAGTTTACCAGATGAACCTGGGGAAAGCCTAAGTATAAAAACATTTAGAAACAGTATAGAAGCGATCACCTCGATCCCAGGACTTGGTATTTAAGGCATTACTAACTCTCTGTAGTCGATTAACTGGTTTTACTAGCTTGTATGCGTCTGTAAATACACAGAATGCAGATCACTATTTCACTAATTTATATGATTTAGTTTTTTCTAATATAACGATGGGGAAAAAAAAAACTAAACAAAATTATATGATCACCCGAGACAAGTGTGACAGTGGGGCAAGTGCAAAATGCAAATTATGCGGTCTTAGCACGTTTTTTGATTAAATTCCATCTATTTGACTATACCGACAGTTAAGTACATAACTTCAAATATTTTATCGTCAGATTTCATTTTTTTAAAACTACTCAACTGGCGACTGACAGCGCAATTTTAGGAGGCGAAGTTTTTACGCGTTTCGACATGACATTAAGTTATTTTAAACAAAATACATGATGAGTGATAAATAATAATATTGGTACTTACTTATAGCGTAATGTTTCTGCGACCTGAAATCCACTGTTACAGTTACACTTACATCACCTAATACCGTTCGTATTCGGGGTAAGTGTGACAGTGTCACGCTTAACCCCGATCATTTTATATGAGAATATCGTAACGAAAAAGGAGGATGCTATTTACCGGTATGTTTGTATGTATTTATACTTGAGTATATACTTTTTTAAATTAATGCCAAGAAATAAATACATGTCAAAAAATGTCAGAGGATGTCAGAAGCAGAAATGCTAAATGTTATCGAAACATATAGAAGAAGATACAAGTATAATTTGATTTTAGATGAAAAGAATACTGTTTTAGTACGATATTACGAAAAGAAAAAATAGCAATATTATGTTGGTTGTACAGAATATTAAAAAAAATGATCGGTAAACAGTATTATAAGCATTATATAGATGTGAAATAAAAATAGGTAAAATACCAATGTGTTTTTTTTGTTAAACAACAAATATGATATTTTCTCTTTTAAATTTAACTGAATAATACATTTATTCACAAGTTTTTATTTATCTAAAATAGCACATATAATACCGATACCAAAGAATTATGATTATATTATTGTAATTTTTTTAACATATTTAAATTCAATTTTATTTTGCACTTGGCATTTTTTTATTATACTTACAAAATATTCAGAGCTAGTGTAGTAAATCTATTTCAAGGCACATAACTACATCGGTTAAAAACTCACACTTGCCCCATGTTGGGAAATATTCATTGTTATTCAAAAATTTACGTACAAATCGTTTTCATAAATCACAAAATACAGCGACGTTAGTATCATCTCATCAATTTTGTCGAAAACCACAGATAATAGTAAAGTAACTACAAAAAAAGCGTTCTGTCACACTTGCCTCATTGATGGGTAAGTGTGACAGGCTTCCACCTCAATTAGTTTTAACTACC